GAACTGTAAATTCTCAATTACAAGCGAACCCATAGGGAATAACTAGTCATCTAAGTTTTTATCAAGAGGCGAAATTTAATTACCGCTTCATCCATCGTCTTTATTAAAGCGATCTATCTAACACCTAATTTAATTCTGCCTGTCTGAGATCCGCTACGACACGCGTGTATTTTAGGACTGAATTCAACCTAAAGATAGACCACTTCCAATATATCATAAGATATAAGCGACGATAACGCATCTGTTTTGGAGGAGTTCAAAATTAAAATTCCCTGCAGCGTTCCGAAATCGAGTTCTACATTACTTTGGACATATTGCATCTTCAGCTTCTACAAGGTTACCAATAAAGAATTTTCTTCGAATTAACGAGTCATACACACCGTTAAAACTGCCTTCACAATTTAATGTCGCGCATTTATTGACACTATCTTAAAGTTCTTTAATAGAAAAGATGGTTGGCACTTATCCAACACCTGGGATTCTATTATCTTGATGATGAAAACCCAAGCCAAGCAAACTATCAGACCTCAAGATATTATATAAAATGTAATTTAAAACTCTAGTAACATTTTTTATACAGAAATAGAATAGAATGTCGACGAATTCCTTTTAGATATCACCTTTGTTGTCCGTGACCACGAAAATATTAAAGTACTCAAAACTTCGGGAATATTATAATGACAATTGTAATATTAAGCCGTAAAAGTACTTTTAATATTGGCAATGAACATAAAAGCGTTGAGCGTCCTATGTTGATTAGCCCATTGAGGGTAAGAGATCCAAAGAACAAAATTCCAAGCTATAGCTGGATAAGATATCGGAACCTATAGATCCATTAGGTCAGTAATGTAATGGAAAGACAACAAAAAATCCGTTATTATAGAAATGTTCTTGAGAAATTAAAGAAAAATTTAGATGACGCACCAGATATAATATGGCAATATATAGATAGTGGTATTGTCATATATTGCAATAAAAGAATAGTTGAAAAAGTAGGCGACCTTTTGATCATATTAAAGTGTCAATTGTAGACTAAGGCTTCCATATTAAACAATAATACCGTAAAATTATATTCTTAAAATTTTGCACACATCAACGCCTTATTGTTTTTAGCGACTATTGTGAATTGAAATGGATAGATAGCAATATTATCATATATCATCGAAGCAGTCTTACGTTTCATCTTCAAGCGTGAGACATTTACACTCACAAAGATACCTAAGTCAAGTTCCAGAACTACACAAATACATAAATCACAAATACTAGATGTTACATGAACACGAAGCGATGGGTCTTACAAAATAACCCCAAAAATATAAATGCCACTGTGAAATTGCAGAGGTAAAATTGAACTATGAAGTTTTGAATAATCGACATTTACGATACCGATTCTGAACGCCAATATATTGGCGAGCTGAAACAATAAATACGGCATATTCACCGTTGGAGGCAATATGCATGAAACTGAATTTTTATTGAAGCGAAAACATGACCCAGTTCGGTAGTTTAATTTCACGGCACGATACTGATGCAAATCTAGTGATGCCTGGCTATGACTTAGATATTTATAAGCTCATCCTTTTTTTTCTCTTTTATATTACAACTGCGTAGAGCGGTTTTTAATACTTTTAATTCAGAACGATAATACGGTACAGCACAATTTTGAATGACGACTTGAAAAAAAAAAAAGAAAGGACTCGGCCTGAGAATATTTAAGAACTAATATATCAAAATCATTCTTAAGAAGTATTTGATTGATTGATAATATAAGCAAACACGGGGGGAATCACCACATACATAATAATATGTATAATAACAGTTGGTATGTTGCGTTCTGGTAAATGAGCGTGGACTGTATTAAAATTTATTATTTTTGATTTTTTTTTTTTTTTTTTTTTTTTTTTTCCTACCTATGCTGATAGCCTTGAGAGGCTATTTCAGCTTCACCCTAACGTTAGTAGGTGAGCTCGCGGGGCTCAACCGGAGAGTTGCTAACACTGACCCTAGCAAGAGCAGTGCTTCGCAGAATCTACCACCGGATCGGAAACGCGACCCACTGAGAAGATCCGGCGAGAAACTCAGTGGGCTGTGTCTATGGGTTAGTTCGCTCGTCGAGCCCTTCGTCGCAAGCGACGGGTTCGACGAGGACGGTGACCGGTGCTTGTGGTGCCTAAAAGCACCGTTAATGGATCAGGAGGATCCGTAATGACGTGCTTTGGGCGACGTCGACGGTTTACCATTCGGTCTACTGGGTCGGGTATGTAATTTCCAGCGGCTACGATGAGAGGGTTCTCATGTCGTGCCGCCTTCTCAAAATGGCGCAGCGATGCCGACTGTAGATACTTACTAAGAGAGTCGAGCTCCAGGTCATCGTGGAGATCCACATTCCTAAGGAACCATGGCGCTCCGACGGCTATCCTGCAGAATCGTGATTGAATAACCTGAAGGGATTTCAAGTGGGTGCGGGCTGCGTGAGCGAACACTACGCTTGCATACGTCATGACGGGGCGTATACAAGTTTTGTAGAGAGTTACCTTATTGCGGAGGGACAGTTTGCTTCGACTACAAAGCATTGGATAGAGTCGTCCTAGAATAAACGCGGCGCGGTCGCGTACCGTTTTTATATGGGGACGGAATGTCATCCCTCTGTCGAGGGTGACGCCTAGATATTTGACCTTCGAGACCCACGGTATGGGCTGGCCAAAGAGAGTGATGGGACTAACGGCGGAGGTGTTTGCGCGCCTACTACGGAGTGGGATGCTCGAAGTGATGTTCGGAGGGCGACCCCTTTTGAAGAGCACCGCTGCGCTTTTCGTGGGGTTGATGTCTATTCGCCACTTCCGGAACCACTGTCCCATGGTGGCTACTGCGATCTGGAGTCGCCGATGAAGCAGCGACATCTTCCTACACGAGTAGTAGATAGCCGTGTCATCGGCGAAGAGCGCTAGATGGGTCTCCGGAGACCGGGGTATATCATTGATATACAAACTAAATAATAACGGGGAGAGCGCGGAGCCTTGCGGGACTCCGGCAGTCAGTTGACGGGGACGAGAACGAGTTCCCTCTACTCGATATCGAAACGAACGGTTCGACAAGAAGTCTCGTATGATGAGCACGAGTCTGTCTGGCACTCCCATGTTGTACAGTTTGTAAATTAAACCGTTGTGCCAGACTTTGTCGAACGCCTTCGCGATGTCGAAGAAGAGGGCGCCGGTCGGGATTTGTTTACGCCTATTTAGTCCTATCAGGATGTGCTCCGTGAGGCGGTGCACTTGTTGTACGCACGAGTGTTTAGAGCGGAATCCGAACTGTTCGTCTATGAGAATTTTGTTCGCGGTAACAAAATCCCAGAGGCGTTTCCTAAGGAGCCGTTCGTAAATTTTTCCTATCGTCGAGAGGAGACTAATCGGACGGTAACTAGAAGTTTCGTTTGTCGGTTTGCCCGGCTTATGTATACCGATAACGTCCGCTTCTTTCCACACCGCGGGAAAGATGCAGTGCGTCATAGCGGCATTTAAAATTGTAGCCAACATTGCTATCAGTTGGACTGGCAAGAGTTTTAGCGCGCGGTTGTGGATGCCGTCGGAGCCGGGTGCCTTCCTAGGTTGGAGGTTGTGGATCGCGTCTCTAACTTCGTCAGTGGTAATGGGGGGTAACGCGTCCGAGGGCGGCAGGGAAGCTCTGCGCTCGACCTCCCTGTCGACTAACTCGGTGTGTTCGGGGTCCGCGTGTTGAGTGCTGGTGGTGCACTGCTCTTGCAGTGCATCGGCCAGCAGCTCAGCCTTGTCATCGTCATCGAATGCCGGTGGTTGGCCTGAAGGGCGTAAGAGGGGAGGCATAGTAGCGGTAGTTTCGGATTTGAGAGTCCTAGCTAGTCGCCAGTATGCTTGGTGGGAGGGCGCGAGTTGTTCTAAATAACTATGCCAATTATCGTTACGCGCGTCGCTTAAGCGGGAGTGGACTTCGCGTTGTAGACGACGCATCTGAATCCGGTTTGAATGCGTGGGAAGACGATCGTAGGCCCGGATTGCCGCGTTCCTAACTCTTAAGAGATTCCTAAGATCGGGGGACAGTCTGATGCGGTGGAAGCTGTCCTCCACATCGACTTCTTTAGAAGATCTAATGATCGCGGAAGAGATGTGATCGGTAATGATGTTTATGGATTCGACGGTGTCCTCGGGGGATGGATTCGAATCCGGGCCGTAAGGGAGGATTGGCGGAGCGGCGTCGGCTAGGCACGTGCCCAGCTTATTCCAATCCACCATGGTCCTCGTAACAGTGACTGGGTTGTGAGGGCGACCGAGCTGCATAACGACAGGTCGGTGGTCTGAGTCGAGCTCTGACATTGCTTCGATGGAACGCAAGCGCAGAGTTACGTTCCTAAGCAATGCCAGGTCTATAGTGCTCGGACGGAGCGCGATGTTATACGGATAACATGTTGGAGTTGGGGGACCGACTATTTCAAAGGTGAGGTCGTCTATAAACGCGTCGAGACGCCTACCGTTAACGTTTGTACGATGGCAGTTCCACCTAGTGTGGTGGCAATTTAAATCGCCTGCCAGGATGACAGAGTCTCCCATGCCGAACAGTGACTCGATGTCACTGCTCAGAAGGGGCTTGTCCGGGGGGAGATAAACGGATGCGATGACGATCGGCTGGTGTCCCGTCAGCGAGATACGGCACACTGACGCCTCGATATGTGAGAGCGAGGGAGTATCGAGAGGGACAACGTGCAGGGCCCGCCTATAGTAAATGGCAGTCCCGCCTTTGGAGGCGGTGAGTCTGTCATTCCTAACCATGACGTAATTCGCGACTTTCGGGTCGCGACGCGAGGGCTTCAGACAGGTTTCCTGCACTAATAGAATATCTACAAGATTATCGCGGAGGAATTCGAAAATTTGATCGCGTTGCCGCGCGAGTCCGTTAGCATTGTAGAATGCTAACGTAAGGGAATACGGTTTTTCTCTACCTTTTTGCGCCATTGATTACCGGTAAAGATTTTATAACGTACGCGACACGGACTCATAAACGTCCATGTGATCGAACGCGGCCGCGAGCCGCTGTTCGGGGGTTGTCGACCTACGGATAGCGTCAGCGAACGATCGCAGACGGTCGAAGTTCACCGCGGTGACGAAGTCGCGCACGAGCGCGAAGTCGTTGACGGCAGAGGGTTGCGGGGGACGGAACGCGGGCGCGGGGCGAGGTGCGAGCAGGGGCTGAGGCGCGGGGCGTGTCGCGAGCGGGGGCGGGGGTGCGGTTTGCGTTCCCGCCTTCGTATACGGCAGCGGCTTTTTCCACGCTGAAACCGTGGGAACTGCAGCCGGCACGAAGGCAGGTTTCGGCACTGAGGGTGCCGAAGTCTTTGGGCCGACGGTTCGCGGAGCTGGGTGGGTTGGGCGTTTTCGCGGAGCCCTGGGACATCCACGGTAGTTATTTTTGAGATAATTATTTCTCCTTATATGACAAATTAAAGACTGTAGCGCTGGATTTGAAAAACAAATAGTGTCATGGCGGAGGTCACTCGTTGACACTTTGACTTCAGAAATTGAATCTGGGATCAAATCACGCTCGGTAACCAGTCTTAAATTAGGATTCCCTGTGCTATGGGTACCAGAGACTGACATACATTATGTACATATAAATATAGATAATAAACACCCAGAGCAAACAAACCTGTTTATCACACGAATATTTGCCTGATGCAGGAATCTAACCCACGACTCTGGGCGAACTGTCGGTGCTGCTAACTACTGCACCACCGAGTCGGTTAAAATGTATCAGTAATTATCTATTTCATGCGACATACGTCATGTCAAAGTCCCGTTAATCTATCTATACTACAGTGGTTTTAACGGATGTTCCGTTATAACTACTGAACCGTGCATCCGATTACTTGAAACTTGGTATCCATGTAGTAAATACATGTACTTAATGGATAGGCTAATATTTATATGAGTGTTGGATTCCCTACATCAGTTGCGGGGGCGTTAACGATGGGAATCTTTGTGGGGGTGAGAAATAATAATGTTAATTTTAAATGCCCAGCGAAGCGGACGGGTACAGCTAGTAGATTATAAGTATACACTTTTTGTGATTTTAGATTGAGACTCTGGGTCTGCGGAGGGACTTCGGTTCCCTCTGTATTTTGTACCGTATGTTCCATGGGGAGTGCTCTGAGGAATTGTTCGAGATGATACCGGCATCTCGTTTTTACCATCGCACCGCCCGCCACCGGAGTAGAGTTCATCCGTACTACCTGGAGCCACTGCGGTCATCCACAGTGCGTTTCCAGAGGTTTTTTTTGCCACGTACCATCCGGCTATGGAATGAGCTCCCCTTCACAGTGTTTCCCGAGCGCTATGACATGTCCTTCTTCAAACAAGGCTTGTGGAGAGTATTAGGCGGTAGGCAGCGGCTTGGCTCTGCCCCTGGCATTGCTGAAGTCCATGGGTAACGGTAACCACTCACCATCAGGTGGGCTGTATGCTCGTCTGCCTACAAGGGCAATAAAGAAAATTGGCTATTTATTAGTATGGCATTAAAAACGAATGTTCTAATCAAGCTTCAACAAGTTCATTTTTATAAATTTAACTTCCAATGCGGCTAAACATTGCAATACTATTGCATTAAAAAATATATTCAAATACACTCAAAGCGATTGGTAAAATTAACTTGAAAGCAATATTCGAATGTAAAATACGAATCGAATGTTGTTCAAGCCGCGGGCAAAATTTTTAAATATTTCATAAGCGGAAAAACACACGTGTGGCATCGTATCGTCAAATGAAACACTTTTCGTATTAGAGGCTTGTTTAAACAATATGAAACTCAAAGTTTATTTAAAAATTTCGTGTTTCGCAATTATGATTAAATACTGAGACCGTAGGACTTATATCTCAAGGTGGGTGGCGCATTTACGTTGTAGATGTCTATGGGCTCCAGTAACCACTTAACATCAGGTGGGCTGTGAGCTCGTCCACCCATCTAAACAATAAAAAAAATTGTTGCCCATACCTAATTATTTTTCAAACAATACTTTTAATTGACGGCGCAACTGGATTAATATAGTTTAAAAAAAGTACTCAACCGTTAAAACTCCGTGGCTTGCACGAATTCATTCAGTTTCGATTTAGGTAAATTATGAACTCAGTTTAAGCACAAATAAATCGTGTTTGCGGTTTGTACGATTTTTTTATTGTTAAACTTAGATTTAGAGAATCTCTGTATAGAAATATAACTGAACTAGTTTGATTCAGTTTAGGTGTTGTTTTTCATAGCATATCTAGCCATACAATAGATTTCCTATTGGGGAATGGGAAACAGAAACTGATTAGTTACATACACATCATATAGATATTAAAAATAAACAAACGTGTTCGTCACATGAATGTCGCTTGAATGACCGAAGTGAGAATCAAACCAACGAACCTCAGTCCAACCGTCAGGACGATAACAACTGAACCACCAGGGCAGTGAAAGTTGCTGCCTAAGTTATTCCCTTGTTAAAATCCGCTTAATAGTTACAGAGATTGCGCCAACTAAAAAACAGGCAGATTTACAGACAGAAAATAATTATACAAAGTTATTGGAAGGTGTTTTTTAATAATTCTTTAGTTACCGCCTTTCTATTCTTATTACCTCCTTCCAGTGTACGGACACAACGGATTCAACAGTTTTATTATATTTTATTGACTATTAGCGTACGTAAACATCTTAGTTAGCAGCCCAACGTTTGAAACACCACCTTCGTATTGTTCGGATTTTGTTTTACTTTAATTTATTCAATGAGAAAATACAACCGAATAACTGTTGATCGTATTACACCCACACCCAACTTACACTGATTCTGTCTCAGTAGGGATCCCCGGGGCGCCATTTGGTTATGCTTTAAATTGCCCGCCGACCCAGAGGCCCAGTGGTCGTAGGACCGACGACCGCCGGTTGAACGTATAGGGTTGCGGGACGAGATGCGCTCCGCATGGAATGCAACGCATTGGCCGCTCTCACGCGTTACCACTGACTAATAAGAGGCTAAGGACGCCTGCCCACCGGAGCGGAGCCAGGCAACGGAGCGGAGAAACGAAGAAATATTAACAAAATCAAAATCATAAGATTACAAAATGATTCAATGATGCAAAATCATTTTGCAAATATGATTTTGTTCAATCTTATATATTTTTTGTCTAATCTTAAAATCATTTTGCAATCTGAAGATTTTGATTTTGTGCAATCTTATTGGTTAATATTTCTCCGTTTCGCCGCTCCACTGCCTGGCTCCGCTCCGGTGGACAGGCCCCATTAGTCGCTGGTTATTGAGTGAAAATTGCCCACCGACCGCGAGGCCCGGTGATCGTGGCACCGACGACCGCCAGTTGAACGTATAGGGTCGCGGGACGAGATGCGCTCCGGGAATGCAACGCGTTGCCCGCTCTCACGCGTTACCACTGACTGATACGAGGCTTAGTCGCGGGTTGTTGAGTGACAGGGGGTCTTCGTCAATTCGTCTCCGTCACGCTCTGGTAATCATCTCTAACACGTAGGCATAAGTCCAGCGATTTCCGCCTGACCCATAAAAAGGATAATGAAAAATATGTAAATTATTTGTTTGATCTTAAACGTAATTCTACCCTGGGTTTTGTCAATTTATATTGTTGTCATATATTTTACTAACCTAGTCCAGAACGATTAACATCTATTAGAAAATTAGGAATAAAAGGTTACTATCGGCGCGCTTTTAAAACTGCATATCAAAATCATAAAGGCACTATTCTAAAAAAATTATAATTGGTAATCTGAAAAATCATGAATTTAACAGCACTAAGTTTTGATTACGATCATTAAATATGTTTATTTATCATTATGAAAATAAGTAATATTTTTTTAAATGGAAACTTTTTTGTTTCGTTTACAGAATATGACAGATCAATGATCCAAAATGGTATTTAAAGTGTTATTTTTAAAATACTAAGTTTTATATTTTTTTAAACATCATTAAGTTAATCCATGCACATGGCTTCACACCATGGTGGAAATAGACCATCAAAATTGGACAGGGGACTCTTTTCGTTACGTAGAAAGTCATTGGGCTAGTGATTTTTTATTTCGATCCTGCAGTAATAAACGAGTACGGCAAATATTGTATGAGCATATAAAATTAATTACCATAAGATGAGCATTTGTTTATCAAAAAAGGCGTCTAATTTACTAATTTTTATCCCTTAGATTGGTGAAGAATTAAAAAGAATGAAATTTTATATGGACATTTTTTTTTTTTTTATTGCTTAGATGGGTGGACGAGCTCACAGCCCACCTGGTGTTAAGTGGTTACTGGAGCCCATAGACATCCACAACGTAAATGCGCCACCCACCTTGAGATACAAGTTCTAAGGTCTCATGTATAGTTACAACGGCTGCCCCACCCTTCAAACTGAAACGCATTACTGCTTTACGGCAGAAATAGGCAGGGTGGTGGTACCCACCCGCGCGGACTCACAAGAGGTCCTACCACCAGTAATTACGCAAATTATTGTGGCAGTTACTTGATTTCTTATAGACTGAAATAAATTTTAAACCTTATTATCGTAGCTTAGAATGCATTATTATTTACCGCCAATGTTTCATGGCTATTAAAAATTTTAAAAATTCTGAAATGGATCTTTTTTTATAGGCAGTCTCAAGGCAGTACCGCGGGCCAAAGTTAACATTACTTACATTGCATTATTACTCACATTACAGTTATTACTTAAAACTACTAATCACATTCTTAAATATGCATTTTTTTGTTAGTATATAATAATAATACAGTAATATTAATAAACTTGTATAAAGTTATTCCACTCTTCACTAAATAAATATAAAATTTGCACAAAAAAGTCTCTATTTTGTTAAAAATTAAAGCTCATTTGACTCAAACTAGGATAAATTTTAATATTAAACAAAATAGATATTTTTTACGACAGTTATTATTTTTATTAAAAACGAGATTTAGTTATCTAAAGTTTATACCAATAAACTAATTTGGGTTGTTCATTAACGTACGCTTTTTAGCACTTAAAGTACATACGCGGATTGCAAGTCGCGAAATATGATTGCCGTAAATTTTTTACCGAACGTCGTCGTACGTGCACACGACCCGGCAGCGTCTAGCGTACTAAACCAACTATCATAGGAACACTGGATTTAGGTGCCCTCAGTCTGTTAAATATTTAAATTATCGAACAAAACATATTATTCGTAAACAAGTCATTCGTTAAAATTTCGGATAACATCAATCATTGATTTCGATCAGCACATTATAAATTAAACAATTTAATTGGTATGAATTAAATTAAAATGCCCTTTTGTTATTTTTGTGTGCATAACATTATTTGTATTATGATGATCTATTCATTTGATTTCCACTAACGCTCAGATAAGTTACAAAAGTTGATGTAGGTAATTGACGTCAGATAGTTTCAAAGCCGGCGGGTATTTTCCTGAATTTTCTGAACGCATTATGCTTGTAGCGCCATCTGTTGTACTTTCTTTAAATGCTAGAAGTGAAAATACTCAAAATGATTTGAAGATGTCGCTGCATGGTTCATTTGTTTTATTTATTAGTAACTAGCGGCCAGCTCCGGCTTCGCTCCGGGTCTTTAACAAAAAATTCAAAATAAAAAATTATAATACACACACATTAACCCTTATATTTGCGTCAGGTCATTGTTTTTATACTGGTGGTAGCACCTCTTGTGAGTCCGCACGAGTAGGTACTACCGCCTATTTCTGCCGTGAAGCAGTAATGCGTTTCGATTCGAAGGGTGGGGCAGCCGTTGTGACTATTTTTTTTTTATTGCCTTTGTAGGCAGACGAGCTTACGGCCCACCTGATGGTAAGTGGTTACTGTCGCCCATAGACTTCAGCAATGCCAGGAGCAGAGCCAAGCCGCTGCCTACTGCTTAATACTCTCCACAAGCCTCGTTTGAAGAAGGACATGTCATAGCGCTCGGGAAACACCGTGGAGGGGAGCTCATTCCATAGCCGGATGGTACGTGGCAAAAAAGACCTCTGGAAACGCACTGTGGATGACCGCAGTGGCTCCAGGTAGTACGGATGAACTCTACTCCGGTGGCGGGCGGTGCGATGGTAAAAACGAGACGTTGGTATCATCTCGAACAATTCCTCAGAGCACTCCCCATGGAACATGCGGTACAAAATACAGAGGGAACCGAAGTTCCTCCGCAGACCCAGAGGCTCCAAGCGATCCGTGAGAATGGGATTATCGACAATCCAAACGATCCGACTATACTGAAACCTTAGAACTATATCTCAAGGTGTGTGGCGCATTTTACGTTGTATATATCTATGGGCTCCAGTAACCAATTAACACCAGGTGGGCTGTGAGCTCGTCCACACACCTAAGCCATAAAAAAATGCTAAAAAAACTTTCATTGCCTTAATGTGACATTTCATTGTGTCCTTAATTCTGTTGTCTATAGTGTATTGGGTGGGTTGCATGAAATAAAATAAACAAATCAGTCCAAATTATTTAATGCTTATGTGTTATTATATCGATAACGCTATGATGTATAAATGAAAAAATAAATAGTATTATATTTACTTTAAATAGCTTTTATAGTAACAGATAATGATAATGCTTCTCTTTTATGTTTATATACACAGTGTAAGGCGTTTATTGGATACAGTATCCTATCAATACTTAAGATTTTTCGTAGTTTAAAACGATTGCGAATATTAACTTTTTAAAGAACTAAAGTACAGCTAAATCTTTCGTCTTTATATCTTAAATATTCTTTAAACGATATGAAAATTGGAAATTAGCATTTCGTACTAATCTAAAAACCATAACTACTATAAGCTATACACTAACGCCATCACTCGTAACGTAAATCGAATGGCTCATCGAACAAGAAAAACTCTATGCAATCAACTTAAAACTATAAAAATGCTAAAAAAAATATAATCTGCAATAAGAACACGCCATATACAGTTTTTAAATTATATACATCACAATGAAAATTTGCGTCGCTAAAAGTAAAATAAACGATAATGCCGCTTCTGTAACTACATGATTTCTTCTCAATTAAATATCAATTAAAAGTTAAATACTTTGCTAATAATACTTTATATTTTAATACAAATTTAGAAACTTTATTAATACAACTATTGTTTCGATTAGGAGAGCATAATAAAAAAAATATTAAGCCAAAAATAATAATGATAAATACATTTTACACCAGCCAACGATCATAGAATGTAACGGAAAAAGTCAATTTTATAAATTCAACCAAAAAAAGACATCACGTTTTTACAGAATAACAATATACTTTAAGAAAATATTTGCATAGCATATTATTGCTTTCAATTAATTGCGTTACTGCTGCTCATTCATTCTAACCATACTGTTATCAACGTTACTTCGTAAATGCTGTAAGCATAGAATCACTCAGCATTGTAACTATAAATACCATCTATATGTATAATAATTATTCGGTAACAATGTAGACATTCATCATCTATTTAATACATCGAGTTTAATAGTTTCCACATATTGTCATTTGTAGGATACGCATATTCTAAATATGAAACAAGGGTTTTATTTATATTTTTACATGACAAGACTAAGTATACTGTATTTAAATATAGATATATCGTATTTTTTTTCTTCAAAGGCGCGATATTACATTTTATTATTGCTTCATTGCTCACTTTAGGGTACATTACAGAGTATCCAAAGAGAAAGTTAATATTTTATTAGCACAACTTGAAAACTCAGTATGAGAAACGTGGGGTCCAAGTTAAACGGTAGCTCAGCTTGTACGGGTTCTGGACGTACACGGAACCAGTTTATCTGTTTTCCATGAGACTTCTACTACAAAAATGATTTGGTTCTACTACAAAAATGATTTGGTTCTACTACAAAAATGATTTGGTTCTACTACAAAAATGATTTGGTTCTACTACAAAAATGATTTGGTTCTACTACAAAAATGATTTGGTTCTACTGCAAAAATGATTACTAGTTGATTTCAATAAAGTTTCACTTGGAAACAAGTAATGTAGTCACCACTACAATGCAAGTACATACATTAACATTAAGCAGTTATGAATAGTAATTAGCTAAAAATATTTATTGGATTTGATCGCAATGATTTTCTTGATGGGCTTTCTATATTTTTGGCGGTATATAAAATATTAACTTTCCTTCGTAATAAATACTCTTCACTATGATATTTATTAAAGATTACTATTTAAACCTTATCTTAATTCTTAAGCCAACGGATATTTGATAACATCGCATACAGTGAGTCAAACTGGTTTTAGATCATACACTCTAAGTAAATAAATTGCTAAGGTGCCTCAAAAATTTCATATAGATAATCTAAATGTAAAATGCTACAAATTTTTATTAAATTACAATCGATAAAGCCTTGTATCCACTTATTGTTTACGATTCGACTTCACGAGCGTTCCCAGCGAACTACTAAGTTTAAGAAATTTTGGTTTAAATGAAAAAGCAACGATTGTAATATCAAGCGAAAACAATCTAAGACAAATATTATAGAACTATATTATGAGATCCTGTTGAGATTTCATCTAATTCAATCATAAAAACACGCTAAAATACCATCAATTTCACAGTGTAATAATCAGGCTCGTACTTTCCGAAACACTGTAAATACTCAAAAATATTCTAGGGTCTAAAAAAATATTCACAATTCAATTTAATATCTATACCAAAACTCAACTGATTCAATATCACAGAGTTCGAGATTCAAAATGATATTCGAATGCACTGGATAGTGCGGCACACACGTATTGCATTCGTCTCAAAGATGATATTTTTACGGCATCCATTTTCTCGAGAAAATTTACGACTACAATGCCACAAATATAAAAAAAAAAACTATGAATTATTTTATTATTATTATTATGTACAAAGTGCTTATTCTCGATTTTTTACGAATTTCCGGTAAATACTGAAAACCACGGCCTAAGCCAAGTGGAGTTCATTTTCAGTGTTAATTTCATCTAATGTTTCGTATTATTATTATTAGTCGAAATGAATACAAATTGAGATACTTTACGTAAATTCTACATACACATTTTAAGGATTAATTAAATCCTTCAGAAATAACAAAGTCTACGAGTAAATATGTAAATAAAATCGGTACATTTTGATTATTGAAACCAAAAAAAAAACAACTACTAATTGAAACCAGAGATTAGGAGGTTAAGAATCTACGAATGGAAATATATATCAGCGTTTTTCTAACGTTATTCTTATTTAAAGGTAGATGCAGTATGTATATAAATACTGAAATGAGTTGCTGTAAATAGTCATGTACTTCTGTCTCTCTCTCTCTTAATATAATATATTAAAGTTAATAGTTTCGGAAGGCGGCTTGCGACTTAGCAACGACTTTGAAAATATCAAATACTTTGTGACAGGCATGTAGTGGATGGTCTGTTAATTTATGTCAATTTAATCTCGTAAAATCGGTACATTAGGAAGATAACTTAATTTTCAAATTATATTTTATATAAATACTACATTCATTCTTTGAAGTTCGAAGTCTTTGAAGTAAAGCCAGAGATGCAATAACCACCGAAAAAACCCTTTAAATACAAGTGAACAATACATTTCACTAAGCAATTGACTCATTAGGGTCAGCGTAAATTTGCGACATTTGTTAATTCATAAAATAACCATTCACTAAACATGCCTGACGTGATATAACTACAACAAAAAAGCTTCAATAAATTACTGATGATTATTATCGTTCATTCCCTATTCTATGTAGATGTCCTCAATTGGGTACGCTGTCTCGATAAACTTCTGATAAAATCTTTGAAAAGCTCTCCTGAAAAAAAAAGCAATACAGAAATTGATTAATTGATTAATTAGTCAACGGAGAAATTGGGTCGCGTTTCCGATCCGGTGGTGGATTCTGCGAAACACTGCACTTGCTAGGACCAGTGTTAGCAACACTTCCGGTTTGAGCCCCGTCAGCTCACCTACACGTTAGGGTAAAGCTGAAATAGCCTCTCAAGTCTATCAGCACAGGTAGGGAAAAAAAAGGAAAAATCTTGGAGTTCTGTGAGTAAGTTCCACAGGAAGTCCTCTGAGCAGTCGTTTGAGCTACTAATACCGTTTTTACCATCGCACCAACCGACAATGCAGAGTAGCAGAGTGCATTCTTACTGCTGAAACTATTTTAAGACATCCTTTTTACTTCGTACTACGCTCCGTACATTCGAGAGCTATTATACGACCTTTCCTAGTAGTAATTCCCGATTCTTTCTATTAGCATTAAAACGCCATTTTATTATTTTATCTATTGCAAGCTTTAATGGCAAAAGTCGTTCGTAAGCCTATATTAAAAACACTATACAAGATAACCTTTGCCGGTGTCAAATGTGTAGGAAAATTACATTAATAGTATGTACCTAAATATGAATTAAGGTTCTTAATAAAGGCTTCTTTACCTTTATATTTATACTAGTTTTCAAGTTTTAATGCTGCTCTTGATAAAAACTGTTGCGTTGTAGAGTGAGTTTATTAGTTACTAGCTCACATTCGTTTTTAAAGCAGGACATAAGATGTACATTGTCTTACCCGACTGCTTCTGCGACTGGCCTGGTAGACTCCTGTCCTCGAAATACGTGGCAAGCGAATCGTTGAAGGGTCGGGTGTTTTGTGATGAAACCCAGGTAACGATGATCTCGAGGATGGAAAGCGCAAAACGATACGTTCTTCAGCGAGTAAAAGTAATCGATACAGGGTCCGTTGCGATTTCTCTGTAGTACACAAAGAGTAGAAAACAATCAATTAACAAACCAGTCCAGTCAGATTACATTAGGTTTTATAATATAAATTTCCGAATTTGGCATTCCAAATTAAACAAGCAGGATTGTGGTGTGCGCTGGGCAGAGTCATAAGAAGACTATACCGTCGCTGGTTTCGTAAAACCAACTTGAGCTATATTTAGCGAAAATAATGGCAGAATGGATTTTCTGAATATGGGAACGTGATATTTCAAATCAGCACAGCCTACAGAAATACAGTTGTAGTTTTTACATAATATTTCTTTTTATATATTTTTTGGCCCTAGGAGATTTAAAGTAATGTAACATATTACTAAAGAAATTTACAAAATTCGTATGCAAACGTGAATAAAAAATTACTGGCGGTCGGACGTATTGTCAGGCTGCACTGGTAGGAGCCCCTAGTCTGTCCGTTTTTGCCACAAAGCAGTTACTGGTTTCTGATTCATGACCGGGATAGCGGTTAAACTATACAAATGCAACTTTAGAACCTACGTGTGAAGGTAGGTGACGGCATTTACGAGGTGATTGATATCTATGGCTTCCGATAACCACTTAAGCTGGTGGGTCGTGAGAGCGTACTATGAGAATACAATGAAAAAAAAACAGGCAATAACGATAGCTAATAAGTAGATATTCACAATTCTTGAAACGGAAATTTAATTTGGGAAGCTAGCATAAACTGGAATGTGTACTTTTCAGTTGAATTTTTTAGTTTACCTTTAGTATCTAATGTAATTTATAGTATGGTATGTTATTCATTATGAGATGCTATTTATCAGCAATGTGAAATAAATCCCAGAGCATGTGTTTTAACTCATCAGAATGATTGGCAAGGTGAAAAATAGATTCGTTCGTATTTAACTCGTAATCTATGTTTCCTCGACGAGAATGTTTTCACTTGTTTGCCATAAAAAATGTAATACTGAAATCACCGGTTTGTATGATCATGAAAAAGTGTTGCTTCGAAATTGTTGAGTTTAATTTACTGAAATATGAAATTGATATTGAAAAGTGTACATATTTATGTAAACTGCTGAATAAGTAGAGATTAAAAACTAAAATATCATATAGTAAACCTTCATCTGAAGAAATCCAAACCTTCTCTTTTAACGTTACAGACGTAAAAGCATAGTAATGTATGTATGAAGCATTATTATTTGTCTCACATAAACACACGCGTTTGTTCCTTAATAATTCTTTTCTTGTAATAACAAATACAAGTTTCAAAATTTTTATTACGATAGACGTTAGAATGAATTATAGACTGTTTACGAATACCGAACTGTAGAACATCAAAATTGATGGACGTGTTTAAAAGAAAAAACGCTTTAATTTTACATTTAGCACGTGTTGAATAATATTGTAAATATTTGGTTTTATCATCAGAGTAGTCCCGCTTCAAACAAGTTGAACATTTAAAATCGAATGATAATTTTACGATGAAAATATGAAATAATCAACCATTTGAAGATGTCCGTTTATTTATAATTTTTATCAAGGTTATTTGCAAGCAGCTATGTTTATCGTAATTAAAATATATCGTTTTGAAATTCTTTTGAACTTAAGAAATTCTTCTTACATTTCTATACGTATTAGCTGTTACTTTTTAATTTTGAAGTTGAAAGCGGTTTTAAATTTCATTAAAATTATATAATTAGTAAAAGTTCGATTTTAAATTAAATTATTATGTTTCAAATAGGACGTAATGACGGTTATTGGTTTGACACACGGATTACGAATGAAATATAACGTACAGACTTTAAGTATGTCTTATACTTACCTCTGGCTTGGAACGGTCAACCATACGAAGCCCCTGATCAGATACTTCAAGAATACAAGGCTGAATGGTAGGTTCAGTGCTGCATTCACCGACAATCTTTTTTACAGCTTGGCAAACGACACCTGTACCTTTATGGGCTAAAGTTTCTACGGAGCCCATATACCTATAAATAAATTAATCAAGAATACATAAATATAAAGATTACATATAGTTATAAAAATAAGTGTTACGGGTAAAGGAAAGAAATACACACGACACAAGAACAAATATACGCAGATCTCGAACATTTTGAAATATCTTTCTTCCTCTTCTTTCTTTCTTGTACTGATTCCGACCGAGAGCTGAGGTCGGCTCTCGTAATGCTATGTACTACTTACTTGCGGCTACTAACTATTAAGCTGTCGACAGGGACGTCTTAAACTAGGCTGGGGCCCTTGGGCACACAAGAATTTGAGGCCCTTTTGGAAAGTAAAAAAAGCGAATTATAATAACATTTTTTACTGAGTATGACCATTTATTATAGGTAATCAAATACAGTATGATATAAAAATATTAATTATATTAGAATGCTGCTGGTTTTTTGGTTACGATTACGATAATGGTTTCTTTCGGGATTTCTGTTGAGAAAAATATTTCATTATATCTTTAAAGTAAACTTTTTGAAGGATATCACTTTCCATGCCCATAATTGACAAATTACTCAGCCGTTCTTGTAACATTGTTGTTCGCAATTCATTTTTTATTCTCTTAAGCTGCGAAAATAACCGCTCTCGACTACAGTTGGTAACCAAATTGTCGGTCCTTCGGGGCCCCACTGAGAATGGGGGCCCTGGGCACGGGCCCCGTGTGCCCTTATGGTAAAGACGGTATTGGCTGTCGAGAGATTAACGGACAACAACATCTGGAACCCTACGAGAGATTTACCATATACAAAACTACGTTAAGAAAACTAACCCAAGATAAATTGCTCACCCTAATAAATATCGTTCCCTTTTTACTTTGGCATTTGCTGGGTCGAAGTCGTTGTAATCCATATCGACTGCGTAGGCGGAGGGAAAGATTCCTTGCTGTCCTGTTCGTAAATTTACACCTAAAACGAAAAACAGGATTCTTATTTATGAAAATTATTATACATAATATAAATAGGTGAGTTACATTAGTAATATCACTTTAGTTGCATAATCTCGAATGAATGTGTTATAAGATCGCCCTACCTTCGCACCATAGATCTTCTGCTTCTTTTTGAACATAAATAGGGTCCCCTATTTCCACCTCGATTTCATCGTGATGCCTAGGGTTAAATTTATGTAGGCCTCTGTGGGTTGCTTCAAGCATTTCTAGTTGACTATGAGGTACTGTGGTCATATTTCCTGCAAAATTCATTCCACTGATACTGCAACTGGACGAGGGCGACACTAAAAGAATGAAAAAAACATATAAATATTTTTAATTAAAGTACTTGACTGATTCACGTTTTGTTAAGTAACTGAACGAACCGTTTTGCTGTAAGGGTATTGGCGACAAACTCTTTGGACCCGTGTCGATAGGGGAATGTGCGGTGCTGTGTCCACTGTCGACATCTCCCAAGCTTTGCAGTCTCTCCGAATCTGGGCTGGAGTCTTCGTCGAGGAGATAGCCACATTTTAGCACGAGCAGTGGTCTGCTGTGACATCCTGGTCTTACGAGCATCCCGGTTAGAGCCCCAAGTTCATCAGCTAGAGATGCTGGTTGGCCACATGCTAGAATAGATGCTGTAAAAGTTAAAACGCCAGATGAGGAACTAAATCGTCACTTTAGATTTGTTACTTTAAAAAAAATATGCTTTTAATCCGATAATCAAGAAATCATGCAATTATATATTTGTCGATGTTGCATGTAAGCATTAAGGGCCACCAGGGCATTTTTAGGGTTCAGGTTTCATAAGGAAAAAATGGAACCTTCAAAGGATCACTTTGTCGTCAGACTGTCTATCAGTGTTTTTGTGTGTTCAGGTCGTTATTCTTATGAACACATATGCAGTTAGATTTAGTTCCAAATACAAAGGCTTTACGACCGAAGGAAGCCATACTCAATCTCAAGCTTTTCAGTTAACGCAATTTATAGAGCACTTTCTGTTACTCTAGTATAATGAAATATGGCAAGAGGTTATGCTCTTATAGCACAAGTAAAGATAAAAGTCTGAAAATATTATATAATTCGTATCTTCGAAGTCAAAATTATAAAAAAATATAAAAAGTTGTTGTTGAACCTCAGCCTCAGCCTTGGTCTGAGTACTCGGGTATTACTGTCCTTATTGTCTTTATTTTGTTTTTAATTTTTTATTATTATTAACAGTATTATTAAATCTCTATTGATATATTAATGTAATGCATGCTGTGATTGCCTCTAATTAGAGTTGCAGTTATCAATCGGTCTATACATGTCAATGTTATTTTATGTCTTACTGTAAACCCTGTCGGTAAGCCTTAAATAAATAAATAAATGAAATAAAAGTATTGTTTTGATAAACAAACTGCGTTATTGTTAGTTAGTGCAGCATTAGCTATTAAGTGGAAAATGAACGGGAGACACATTTTTTGACACCAAAGACAACTTGTCTTTAATAGGCATAAACGGGAAACCCAAATAACTTAATATTTGATCGCGGTAATTTCTGGTGTATTTCAAATTGAAATGTTCTGGCTCTGTTGAAATGTGAGGTCGAAATGTTGTCTAGAATAGCGCTCCATCTCTTCCCGTAGTGGACGTTAAAGGGATTCACAGTTTTTTTTTAATGTTGATATCCTTAAAACTGGGCAGCAGTGTTGTCTATGTATTAAGCTGCTTTCAGACTACGCTATACTATAGTGCCATATTATAGTATAGCAGCCTATACTTAGCCAATAATATATAGCACAGTATTGTGTGAACGTGTCCATATTATCATCAATGTACGGTATGCGATATTGTTGTTTATTTCGCTTTTTGTCGCTGCCTACCGCTTAATACTCTCCAAAAGCCTCTTTTAAAGAAGGACATGTGGTAGCGCTCGGGAAAAGCGTGGAGGGGAGCTCAATCCATAACCGGATGGCACGAGGCAAATGTGCTATGTGTTATAATAGTATATGCTATTATATTATAGCGTAGTCTGAAAGCGACTTTATAATAGCACATCGAGCTCGCCAACCGACGTTTTCGCCCGGTCTGAGGGTTCACCTCCGTCAGAGCGCACGGCGACCCTAGCTAACGTTTACTGGTAGTAAGGCGTGTTGGAAGCCTTACCACTTTTCTGCCTATTTTTGCCGCGAGTTGTCATGTTTTCCGGATTGGAGTACGGGACAAGCATAATACAATTGAGATTTCGACCTCGTATCTCAAGATGACGTAGCGGGAAGTAGACCAGGCACGGCATTCACTTTGTAATAAGAACTAATTTATACCAAATAAGGTCTGATCAAACTCAGTCATTTCGGCAATTAAAAAAAAACATATAATAAATAATCGTGTTATAAGATGTTTTTTTTTCTGTGTTAGATTAGCTCTGCGTATGTTTGATTGTCTGTGAGTGTTGTGTGTGCCGGCGTTTGTTTGCCTGGGTGTGTGTATGTATGTTTATCTCGGTAAAAAGAAATGATTATACTGATTATATTATCTATAAAACGATATATAATATTAATTAAAACTGATTTCATAAATAGATAGACTTGTTCGATGGGGTGGTAATTGTACATTTTTAATTTCTGCCACCAGTCGCTCAACCGCTTTGATTCATGACGTCAATGGACAGTGACAATGAATGTAGATTCAGGTAAACCGCATACAAAGTGTGTTTGCTCTGAATAAAAAAAATCCTTTTCGGCGGGAAAGTAGAGAGTGATGCAATATCTATCGTTTTCTTTTAGCAAGCTTTATCTTTTGTAACCGGACCAATTGTGTTTTAACTGTGTAGTTTTATTTTTATTTTGTAAGTTTAGGTACCCATATTTTGAAAATATATACCTACAAATTACCGAAGACTCTCTTCAAAAGAATCGATGTTATAAATAAATTCCGTGAATTTTACTGCGAAACCCACACATGCACTGCACTTAAACAATATTACGTCGTTGCAAATTTGAAATCTCCTATGTGACATTTTGGGTCAAAATGATGTTTTCATATATTATTAATGTTATTTTGAATACCTATACTCAGCAAAAGCAATCTGCATATCTCAATATTTAACTTTATTACGCGTCAATCTTAAAAAAAATTCTAAGTGTCGGTTTGCATTTAGAAGATTGCACAAAGTGGGAATGAGTTGCTCGCTCCGGGCATTTCAATATTGTAATAATTGTTATGTTATAGTTACTTATTGTAAAAATGAATATTTAAAAAAATCTTATATTTAAAAAAAAAATAATCTAATATTTAAAAAAAAAAAGACATGCCTGCTGAGTTTCTTGCCAATTCTTCTCAGGACGGAGGCTAATTCTTGTGAATTGGCGGTAGTTCTTTTGACGTTCAACAAGTATGTACTTTCATTTATGTTGAATAAAACTTTTTTGATTTGATTGATTTGATTGATTGATTGATTGATTGATTTTATTGTAGATCAAAGTATCCTATGTGCTAAAAAAATATTCGGATAATATATTTTTCATGAGGTAGTTTTATTAGATTTTCTCGAAAACTACGTTTATACACATAAGAGATTTCAAATCTCGTGGTCATATTAACAAAACGCCTTATCTTGAACCAATAACTCTCTGAAGACGACTTTTGTTGACATCGGTTTCATTCCTTTTTTTTTATAATATAACTATTTGTAGTTATGAAAATAAGAAACAAACAAGGAATTAAAATATAACTAGCAATGCCATAATGCTCTTAAGACGGACATGAAGGAATACGGAGTTCGCGAGTGATCATTCTTTCGAAATTGGGTCGTGCCTACCGTTACACGTGTTTTTGAAACTTTAAATTTTGAAACTCACAAGAACTCACTGTCGGTAATCATTTTAAATTTAAAGTGTCGTTGCAAATTTCATCGAATTAAAACGAAAATTGCATATCTTGTATAAGACTTAATAAAATGTTATAAGTTTTAGGTATTTTAATAGGTAGTAAGGAAGAACCTGTTCTGGACTAATTGTTAAAGCTAGTTTATTAAGAACATTTTTTTTACAACCACGATGTAATTCTAGTTAACGATGAATTTCAAAAACTAATATCTTAATTAAGCTTCTGTGTGGGGCAGCCGTTGTAACTATACTGAGACATTAGAACTTATATTTCAATGTGAGTGGCGCATTTACATTATAGACGTCTATGAGATCCACTGAACACCAGTTGGGCTGAGAGCACGTCCACCCATCTAAGCAATAAATAAATAAAAAGCTTCTGATTCAATCTAGAAAATTTAGGTCAAGTCTTCATTGTTAGTTAATAATCGCATATTTAATTAGCAAAATGTCAGTTTTTTTTAATAGGTTTTTAACTTTGTTTTCCAACAATAAAGTAATTTACTAAAACCAATTGAGCTAAATAGTTCATCATTTTAATTAAAACTATTTTAGAAATCAGTAGGTGACTAGCTCGGTGGTGCTGTGGCGAGCGCCCTTGTCGGCTGGGTCAAGGATCTTGGCTTCAATTCCCACATCGGGTAAGCATTTGTGTGATCAACATGTTTGTATGCTCTGTCTATGTATTCAATATCTACATATATAATAAGGAAGTATATCAGTCTATTGTTATCATAGTATAGGGAATGCTAAGTCTGATTAAAATTAAGGACTAACTAATTAAAAATTAAGGACCTAAACCATCCAGCCTAAAACCAACCAACCTAACCGACTAACCTAAAATTCCAGGAGCAGACTAAGGCGTAAGGCAAGAACAAGTGCACCTAGATACCAAATTCGGTCATTGAATCCGGATATGAGTTACAACGAGACAATCAGATTTGGAATTTGCGTTCATAGACGATTGTTATGTTGACCTTTCCTATAAAAATAAACTATTCTTATAATAATATGACTTTCAATGTTTAACGTAGTGATTATATTCTCTTTAGTCGCTTGAAAATAAATTTATTGACTCGACATAAGTGTTTTTACTGATAATAACGATCGCTAGGCCTGAAAGAATAAAGTGATCACAATCGCTACGCGCAGTTGCATTGAACACGAAAATGTATTAAACATCATCAATAACGGATCTTACATTTTTTATGTTTCGGGATCTCAGGGAGTTTTCTCCTTCGCCTTTCGCCATTTGTAAACGTCTGGTGACGAGGACTGCGTTGTGTGTCTGCTGCGTCTGCCGGTGGCGGTGGAGACTCCGGATTTTCCGGAATAGATGACCGACCATCGGTTTCGCCTACACATCCTCTGTCTTCTTCGGGGCTACCTTCACTTTTCGAGGAAGGTGACTCATCTTCGAATCCAACATTTGGCACTAATCTATACAACGATAGCATGTGTATCACTAATGTATCTAAAACAATCCGTTGCGCGACAAATTATAGAGGGAATTAAAAGAACATAGCAGCTCACGTGACGCGAATTAGTGTAGCACTTGCGATACGCGTAAAAATGAAAGGCGGCCCGTGTTGTATGTCAATGATAATAATGAATTTGTACTCACGAGTAAAAAGGCGTTGGGGCCTTAATGTGTTGCGGTAGTCTATCAAAAACTCGTCGAAATTCTTCAAACTCGCTATCGGCCATGTCGCTACACCTGATTGTTGAGCAGAGAGAATGTCGCATGCGCGACTGCTCCCTGCAACTCTATCGACCCAGACATGTCTCTTGGACAGTAATAGCACACAACTTTCAAACAGTAGAAATGCGCGCGCATCGCCGGGGACCAGAGCGCAAGCGTGCTTTTGTCACCCTAATACAAAACAGGATTTGGGAGTTTGAATTTTATGCTTATGCGTGTGAGTAAATATTAGCGGAACCCACATGCAAGTCAGTCATGACAGGTTTTTTTAGTACTGTTGCACTAAAAATACACGTTCGTAGCTGCAATGAACTTCACGGTGGTTAATCAAATATTATTTACTTACTGAAGCATGCTTACAGATTAGGTACTATAATAGAAAAACAAAACTAAAATCAATGAGTGAATTATGCGCGTGTGCGAATAAGAGATGTTACATTAGTAAATATATAATTGTAAAGACTAGAAGGAATAGCAAAGACTAGATATAACGCTTTTTTTTTTATTTTGATCACAGAACACAATCAATGTAGGATTTGTAATGAAAATGGGTATTTGTTAGAAAAAAAAAACTGTATAATAACGTGCTAAAAATAAATTTGGTATCCTTTAGGTGCCTAGAATAGAATAAGTTATTTCAAGCTGCTGAAACCACAGCACTGTGCACTTGGAAATAAATTAAATTAGGAGCACCTCATTTGGAGTTTCTCTTTTCTCTTTTGAAGTGGAGTTCCACGGCGTTAGTACATCAGGGCGTAATAACATCACACTATTTTGAAACAGTTGAATAGAAAACTGACTACGTACTTGCAATAAATATTAATCTATATATATGTAAAAATGAATTGCTGTTCGTTAGTTTCGCTAAAACTCGAGAACGGCTGGACCGATTTGGCTAATTTTGGTTTTGAATTATTTGTGGAAGTCCAGAGAAGGTTTAAAAGGTAGATAAATATGAAAATGCTCGGAATTAAATAAAAATATCAATTTTGTTTTTCCTTTAATGTGTCGCCCAAAAGTTTTTGTATTTTATTTATCGGTTGAGGCACTACGAAGTCTGCCGGGTCAGCTGGTAGTGAATAAATTCATTGAAAGGATTGAAGATTATAGTACAACGTCATCTATTGCGGTATACTTGTACTTTAAAACAAATCAGCGTAACTTAACAGAATTGAGTTACTTCAATAATAGATGTCGCCGTCAGATCAGTAAATTTATTATTTTCGTACTCTTCTACTTTTAATATTCAATTATGTATTTAATGACATCAAATACTCCAGAAAATAATAGACTGAACTGTGTTTTCTCTAATATCAATACAGAGAGTGTATATTAATAATATAATATTAATATTATTATATATATTAATATAATTTTATGTAAAAAAATAATTACTCACCTGCAATATAAATATGAAAACAACATTTAAAGCCCTTAATATCTCTGCGTAAATTAATATTTAACACAATAATATTCAATATTATTATGAAAGATTAAATTATTCTCGACATTGAATGACATGTAAATGAACTTGTCTAAGAAAAATCTTTTTAAAAGGTTTTTTCCTTACATATACAAATAAAATTATATTTTCAAATTTCAGTTTTTCTATATAGTCTTTCTTCGTTGTAGAATGAATGTACGTTCATATTAAATTATATTTCAAGTTAAAATTAGTACGCAGTCCTATAATAATTAACAATCAACATTAAATAGCCCGCAAAATTTTCATTAATAGTATAAGTTCCTGGATATTTATGGACGAATTCAAATATGTACTATGTACTATATGTTATATTCAATTATGTATGCAAATAAGAAGAAATAAATAAAAAGCATTGTACCTCTTTGCAGTAATCGAACTTCGGCAATAACTACATATTATTATAAGGTCAAGAGCACTTTTCTAGTTAGTGCTTTATTGTCATCTAATCATCAGTAGACAGCGGCTTGACTTAGCCCTTGGAATTGCTGATGTCCATGATTAATATTGGCCAATTACTATATTCCATATACATGTATACAAGACACATTCAGAAATTTGTAAATCGTCGTGGCCTAAAGGACGTCCAGTGCATTCGTGTTGAGCGATGCACCGGCGTTCGAATCCCGCAAGCGGGTACCAATTTTCCTAATGAAATACGTACTTAGCAAATGCTCACGATTGACTTCCACGCTGAAGTAATAACATCGTGTAATAAAAATCAAACCCGCAAAATTGTACTTTTCGTATTTACTAGTGGTAGGACCTCTTATGAGTCTGTACGGGTAGGTACCACGACACTGCCTATTTCTGCCGTAAAACAGTAATGCGTTTCGGTTTGAAGGGTGGGGCAGCTGTTGTAACTATACTTGAGACCCTAGAACTCATGTCTCAAGGTGGGTGGCGCATTTACGTTGTAGATGTATATAGAGGCCCCAGTAACCACTTAACACCAGGCGGGCTGTGAGCTCGTCCATTCATCTAAGCAACAAAAAAATGCAGATATACAAATGAAAAAAGAGCCACACATAAATAGTTAAATTACTCTATTTTTTTTCTCACTGATATATTTTTTTATATGTATCTAATAATATTAAAAGAAATAAATAGATAGTCAGTTTGTTACTTTAGTTTTTAATTCTCGGTTACAAGGCTTCTGAAACCCATACTGTTGTGCAAATTCAACTAGTTCACGCAAGTAACATTTCTATGTAACAATTGATTTGGCCTTGCAGTTCTTTTGGATCAACATAATGCTTTTTGGAATATTTATTTCAAAATTAATTGCGTAAAAAATCAAATCTGTACATTACTAAGCGTATTTACATAAATGTTTAAGATTAGCTGTACTATGACTCTGATTTTACATCAAGGGGAAATGCAAAAAAAAAAATTCATTGAAATTTTAAAATTTCTATACCTATTCTATATCTATTATGCATATTATGTTCTTTTGAAAGCTTTTCCTTAAATTTTGTTTAGATGTAGGTTTAAGATGCCTTCATTTAATTTTGTTTCAATATATAAGTATAATATAAATTGCTACTTTTTTTAATTATTTTAATTAAAAATAAATTAATTAATCCATACTTTTAATTCGGTTAGAAATTATGTTAGCACGGATGCTATTGACTCGCTATGAAATGTTGAACAATTATTAAACATTTTTTCAGTTGATCTCTTATCATTAAAATACAAAATACAGAACGAACATAGATAATAAAATGTTTAACAGCAAATACAAAAAAAAAACAGATTTACCCGTATAATAACAGCTCTGCAATATTTTAAAACCATAACAATATTTTCTCTTCTCTATCTGAAGTTCAAATTCTTGTACTTGTAGTCGTCTATCACAAAGAAATCTTCAAAAGCCGATTTTATTGACATCTAAACTGTAGGTACTTCCGCACTGTTTTCAGTCGAAGAATTCCTCAAGTAGTATGAGGTCGCCAACGTCAATATAGCCGCTGGAGAGGCTTTGCTTGTTGACTCTCCTCGAAGAACGTGCTTCAGTCACGATGTGAAGGATGAAAGACCTCTTTAGCAAAAAGAAAATGATTCACGTCATTGTTCTCGTGTATTTTCAGATTATTTTTAAGTAATTATAAATCGAAGGCAGAATTAAGGGCGGTGTGCATCGTACTTTTTAAAGGTTAACAACTGTGGATGCGGTCTTCATGAACCACAAATATTATTAAAACTAATTTTATAGTTATAACTTTGGTGCCTACGGACGCCTGCGTCGATTAACTTTACTTTTTTTCGGATACTTTACTACCCATCAAATAGCAAAATAATAAGATCATAATAATAACCTTTAACCTCAATGGTGTGTAGAGCATGTCCCGGAAAGTATGAGTACAATTGTTTTCCACAAGAAGGATGGTGTAGTAGTTTGCTAATATCCGAAAAAATAATAATTAGATGCCTAATTTAAGTAATTAGGCTTACAAACTTTATTTTTCAGCCCACATACGTCCACTGCTGGACTTGCCTGGTCCTATCTACAACTACCTGCATAGCCTGCATTCATTAAATTCCCGCTACCTTCATCGGTCATCGGTTTAATTTGTAGGAGGCCTATGCTTTCCGATACTCAAAAACTAAATGTCGATAATTCAGAAACTATGTATATGTTTCCATAGAACTTCCAGTACTATGATGATTAAGGACTGATATAATACTTATATAATATGTTAATGAATATATGTATGTTAATAGATATGAATCTACTAAGAAAGTAGGATATTTGTCACACGTACATTTTCCTGATGTGGAAATCGAACTTAGGTTCCTCAGTCAAGCAGTCGGGGTGCAAACTAGGGAGCTCACTGATTCAGCCGTTATTATGAAAATGCTAGATTATTTGTAACAAACATTAAAATTGACCAAAAATATTATTACATTAACATAGTTTATTACCGTCAATCCCACGGTGAGTAACTCTGTAACATGAATCTCTCTGTATCAACAGAATAATATTCCCAAAGACAGTGTGCTTAGATAAATAATCGCAGACAGTTACACCTGGTAGATATCATTAAAACCAAATATAATAAAATCAAATTAAAACCATGAAACGTTTCGAATTTTTTTCTATTTTCAATGTCATATTTTGATTAATTTTTAATGTAGTTGTAGTAATAGTAAAAAGCACCTAAAAGACATAGCAAAACTGATTTTCGATACAAAAAATCCTCTAAGATAATATAAATACTATATTTATAATCTGTACGTTTAAAATTAGGACGCTTCGGATAAAAACTCGAGTATCGACGAAAACACCACGAAGTCTCACAGGAAATCAAATTAAAAGCGTCGAAGGGGAATATCTACGTGAACGTAGATTGAACGGTACAGTTAATTGCCAACAATATGACGATAAACTACAAAAATATTGATCGAGCACGCTTTTAATGTCTCTTTTAATTCTAAATTAAAACGATAATATAAACTGAACGTGACTTTTCTCGTAAGCAGTTTTGCTATCTTGGAAAAAAGGAAACCGTTTTAATGGGCAAGGTCGAAGTTAATGATGTTCATACATGTGGTCTGTATTCATATTAAATCCAACGTAACGAGGCGTGAATGACGCGTGAGATAGTTTGGGACGCCAACCTTTGTGAGAGTCATGCCCAGTTCATAGCATGAGGGTTATATCTGAGTAAGCGAAGCTAACATTTTAAAGCCGATGTCAATTGTTAAAGTTTTTTTTTATTGCTTAGATCGGTGGATGAGCTCACAGCCCACCTGGTATTAAGTGGTTACTGGAGCCCATGGACATCTACAACGTAAATGCGCCACCCACCTTGAGATATAAGTTCTAAGATATAGTTACAACGGCTGCCCCACCCTTCAAACCGAAACGCATTACTGCTTCACGGCAAAAATAGGCAGGGCGGTGGTACCTGCCCGCGTGGACTCCCAAGTGGTCCTACTACCAGTAAATTCCAGTTTCTTAAAGCTCTAACCAGTCTAACCAATTCTAACCAGTTCTAACCAGTTCCTTAAAGTACGAAAAAAAATTATTCTGAAATACTCAATGTCTTTTTTCAAATTAATGCAAGACCCCTATTGCCTAAAACGCACGTTTACAATAAAGGAAAGTTTCAAGTATCGCTAACGTAGTTGTAGTATGTCCATAAATAACGCTCTCAAGATAATGAATGATAGGGGATGCTCTTTCTGCTAAACAATGGTAATAAATACAGTGACTAGATCGCTTAACACCCGTCAGCCGGTGGTCGGAGGATGGATCCACCCACGTAGGTCTGCGACTACACAAGTGCTTCTACCGACATTGGTCATGCTCAATGCTGGCTACTCTGAAACTTTTGCGACAGAAAACAAAACGATGGGATGTAATTATATCACATTATAATGACATACAACGCTTTTGTACCAAATTTCAATCGACGCCTGTTTTGGGCATGCTCTTGACCTAATAAAATATGTAAGTATAAAATATAATGAAGCCCGAAAATTTTATTAAGTCACGTTGACATTTTACAATCCAGCATCGAAAATCAGACGATTTTCAGTGAATTAACTTTATTGTTTAAAAATAAACAGTGTAGTCTCGGCTTTACGGTGTGAAAAGAGAACGTTTCCAAGTTACTCCGAACACTTGATTCAGCCAATCAAATATACCCACCCTCCGACAATCTCCCGCGCCTCTTCTCTTTATAAAGCGGACAGGCGACGGATAAAAGCACAGTATGTTCCAGGCATTGCAACAGAACTACCCTTGAACTAAGTATTTGCCCCTATATAGGTCTTAAAATTTTAATAGTCTCAATCAGTTTATAACTCAGTTTTAGAAAAAATTGAACATTTCGGAGTAACTTACTAACTTTAGGAATTTGGACGCAATGAGTGGTTCGGGAAAAGGTCTTCTAGGTCTTTGGCTCTATAGAAACGGTTCTGATTGGCAAGTGAAGAATGAATCTCCACACCATCCTAAGCTCGGAGAGCTTAATGCAGCAAGAGTCCAGGCTCAAGCAGAAAGCGAACGTATTTCGGTGATGTTTACATTGAAAAACCAAGTTGGCGGACTAGTTCGGGCCTTATCCGTTTTCCAAGACTTGGGTATTAACGTTCTCCACATTGAATCCAGAAAATCTATGACTGAAGTTTCATCTGTAAGTTATATCTTAATCTGCTAAAGCGATTTGATTATGTTTTTTGTAGTTTCACGAAATGCTTAGACGAGATGGGCACATCTTGCGTTGAATTAATTACTTACCGTAACTCACCTCACCTAACACCGTATACGAAGTCTTAATTGAGTTACCGTTATTGCCGAAAAGACAGGGGATGGTACATACTAATGCGGACTCATAATATCGTCTTCCCGCATTAAAACTGTATAATCTCAAAACTTACTAATTTTACAGGAGAGTGTTTTAAAGGTTCAAAACATGTGATATTTTTAATATTAATCATCTTTGCAACATTTATTTTTTATTTTTTACTAGTTACAGTATCTGTCTTTTACAGTAAGATAAAATTATGTATTCATTTTGTTATAGTAGTCAAAACATAGGTAAACAAAAAAAAAAACAAAAACTAAACTACGCTCTTTTGACAGTATTTATGAGAAAAATACTGGTGATACCAAATGATTTCGTTTTACTCAATTTCGAATATTTTTGGAAATTGTACACTTTTAATGCGAAAGGCGACATGACTACTACCTGTTTTTTTAAATAAGTTTGTTATTTTACAAATAATTATTTGGGTGCATTTTTGTTATTCGTGTTTTATTTTTCGTTTAGGCCGACATCCTCGTGGACGTGGAGTGTGATCCCCAAAGAATGGAGCAACTGAAGAGGATGCTAAAACGAGAAGTCCAAGACTTTGAGGTTGTACCACCGCAGACTGGTGATGAGTTTCCTCCTCCAACGCCTATGTCTGCTGCGGCAAGCTTCGGTGAGCCTGAGCTTATCTAAGTCGAATGTGCTTTAAGGCAGACGTCTATATTCTTTCTCCTTGATCGTTCGTTTATGGCTGAGGATAACGACTATTTTATCTGTACATCTGGTCGAATAGCTCTCTCAATCAATATCTGTCTGTGGCATGATGGATACCGATATTCTTGGAGACTGTTTAGTACTTCTATAGATTATTGTTGTACCTACACAGTATTATTCATTCGATAAATTACTTTAGATGCTGCTAAAGTATTTTTAAAATATCTACTAAAGAATTGGAGATTTGTTCTTATTTCTATTTTGTGCCAATTTGTTCTATTAACACGCCAGAATTTTGTAAAATTAGGTCAATAATATTTATAAAATAAAAAAAATTTTAAGGTGGTTTACGAATCTGTATATAGTAATCTTATTTTGTTAATCTGAACTAATGGATACCACAATACAGTAGGTACAATACAATACTTATTCGATTCCATCCCGGATTGTTACAGTAATTTCCCCAATTCAATGGAAGGTTGCAATAATTTGACTTAATTTGCTTTTGAAATTCTAGTAGCTATCACATAGATACATACATATGACAAATGAGATTTAACTTGATCGATTTGGCTTCTCCTTCGTTATGTTGGTAATTGTCAAGACGAGATCTGCGTTCAATTCATGATAATATTTTTGTACAGCTTGCGATAGTCACAGATGAGTGATAATGATTCTGTTTCACTAGATATTTGTTAAAGGTGTCGAAAGGAAAGTTGTATTTTAAGGTAATAGTAATATTACTATTATTGACGATTTTCAAATTATGATCTCAGGGGTAAACCTTGGAATACTAAATTTAAAAAAAGCAGTGTTCATTTTTTGCGGAACCCCTATCAGTTTCGTAAAAATGCTTTCCTATATTCTATATATTATAACAGTTTCTTTGTGTAAGATTCTATCAACGGAAATTTCGTGATGACCTGCAAATTTCAGCACTTTGTTGTAAAGAAGAAAACTTAAAAGCGTTCTTTAAAACGACACCATGAGTCCACAATATCGTTAAAACTTTTAATTTCACTTTTAAAATTTTCCTTTTTTAATATCTTGTTCAAACTCGGCAAATTTAAAACGTCGTTGACTTTGTAACGAGACAACTTTGTGAAATAAAAGAATTTACTTTACTTTGACCGCCCCGGGACGTTTACAGAAGCTTTAATGCAATCAAACCCCGAGATTCTCTTTTAAGTTCGATGATTTCATTTGTTTTTTGAATTATTTTATTTTAGTTAGGTACATATAGATTTAGATATAGATAATCAATATCATCGTTAAAATATTTCAACGGTTTTACATATTTACACATAATATGGACTGGTTCCTAAGATAAAGATTTTGATTTTTTTTTAATTTGTTTTTGACAACACTACCTACGGTTTATTATTATTAGATAAATGTAAATTATTGTGAATTGAAAATTAGCTGAATTGGTGGTATTGTAGTTAACGTCAGGGCGTTAGGGACTGTTGCGGCGCGAATTCTAGGTTTGATTTCCATTTCACTTGATTTGGATGTATACTGTATACAATATTTTTTTTGATGTTCTGGTTCCATAGTAGAAGGAATTTTCGTTCGAGGTCAGTTAATCTTGTGATTTTACCCAGACTTTTTGTTACTTCTATTTGTAAGGTTTGAATAGACTTTATATCATTTACTTTCGTTAAATTTAATACCTTCAAATATAAATGCTCCATAATACCAAACACTATTTTTAATCTGAATTAATAACGGACATTATTAGTTGCTTGAATGTAACCGTAAATGTTGAAGAAAGGAATGAAGGAGACAAAAATGCAATCTGTATATTTTATTGGCAATTTTGTTAATTTTAGATTTCGGTGAGATGCCCTGGTTTCCACGAAAGATATCTGACTTGGACCGCGCCCAAAACGTCCTCATGTATGGTTCGGAACTGGACGCCGATCACCCTGGCTTCAAAGACCCGATATATAGAAAACGCCGTGAACAGTTTGCGGCAATCGCCAATAACTATAAGTAGTGAGTATGATGTTTCTGATAGCGTATAAAAAATAAATTTAGACCAATACCTACAAATAAAATTAAATTAGGAGTACATTCAGGTGACGACTGGATTGTATCATTTTAATGTCATGTAGTATGTTCCAATGTGGCCAGTATTATGTTTTTAAACTAATCTTTGATACAGATTTTACAAACCAGCTCATAGTAAATTTTACTCCCCGCTACGTTAGTCGTCAGCTCTAATTCAAACCGTCTTTTCTATTGTACTCGTATTGAATTGATCTAAGTCTCATCTGGTTACTGTTATTTAGTTGTTGAAAAAGGTACTGTTAGTTTTTCAAATACAAAAATCTCATGAAGAAGCATAGATACACGTATAGATGCTCGCTAACATAATATTATGAAAGACCATTAAATTATTTTTAAAAATAGAATGTGATTCTACTTGTGCTTTCATATAGGTTGAAATATAGGTGTTTCTGGTTCTATGTGGTTTATTTAATGAAGAACTCGCCACAAGTGTGCTCTACGGTTACCAAAGCGACTTAACACTTTTTTATTCGAATTAGAAAATTTCAATTCGATCGAAAATTTTCGATATTCCATTTATATGCATTAATAAAAAAAACGATCAAGTACTTTTTGGTATAATTTCATTTTATTGTTTAACGTATTTCACAAAATTACAGTGAAGTTTTTTTGGTCAATAACAATAATTTTTGTTTTTGTTTTACGAGGAAAATCTGCCAGCAGCGCTTAATAAGTTTATAAGGTTTCTATGATGAAACATTTCTTTTGATGTAAAATATCACTGAGGGAAAATTCGAACAGACCATTTTACACAAATTTGACATAGAAATTACGCAATACTTTCCGAATTATTTGCCACAGCTTTTCGGAGTCTCAGTAATAGGTGTTTCCATAGAAATTCATAAGTTATTTGAATATCTGAACGTTATATTAAAAATCAAATTTATACCGTAAGTTTTTTAATCGAGTAGGTGTTTTTTTGTAATAATGATTTCATAATCATTACCGACTTGTAATGCTGATCGGTCTTACTTGGCATCATTTCTTGCATTGCGTGTCCTATAAAGCTACCATAAACTGTTTTCTTTTGGTTTGAATCATTTGAACGTCGAAACCGTAAAAGTAGTTAATTTTGTTTCATTATATTTAGGCACCTTTAACAAAACAAAATTCTAACATGATTGTTTGCGAAAAAATAATATTGCAATAGAAATGTAACCTAATACTCCTAAAAACAATAGTGTGTCAACCAATCATTAAAAGCATGCTCAACCAGAACAACAGGAAACGCACCTATAATTATCGATTGCTAACAAACGAGGCCAAAGCTTCAATTAAATTGGTCACTTGGCCCAATATCGGAATAATTGACAACCTCTATTTGGCTTCCTAACTGCCATTGAGGCTACAATGGAAAATTCGCAATAGCTCGAAGGTTCTAATATATTACTTGTAAATAAACATACAGGTAACAACCCTACGGGCTTGTTCGAAATGATGTTAATCATTGTATATATAAATGTATTGTATTTGGAACGTAAGGTTTCATATTTTGCAAAAACTTAATTCAAACGAATTGTCAAAACAATAGCCGTAAACTGATTTTGTTGTTGACCCAAAAACAGAAGTTGTTGGCCCAGACGTGTACCGCGTAGCAGCATGGAACATAGATTTCGATTTTCTGCCTCAAAGGTGGAAATCTCTTTACATTAGGTGCACCGTCAAATCCTTCTATAGAACCTAGCTAAAACAAAAACTTGGCCTCATTGAAAGTAAAACCTTTTTACATAGTGCTATAGCTATAGTTCAGCTCAAAATGGATTAAGCGTTAATGACCTCATAGCTCACTTGCCTGAACTTAACGATTGAGTATCGATGCGTGCATCGATTAGAGTCATGAGTGTATACATTATTAATTGGTATTCGAAGGAAAGAAATAATGATAAAGCTGCTTTCAATGTCTAAGTTGACCTACTTCAACTTCAATCATTAATTCTTCAGGCAATTACTAGACCTATTCTGTTATCGATAAGTCATGTTATCGATTAGTCAATTTTCATTATGATTTTAAGCTATTATTGTTATTTGATAATTCTTAATTGATAAACAATGAAAGACTTGTAAGGAAGTGTGGTTCTTACGGTGAAACCTTACGCTTCTCCTCAAAATTTCCTTCGATTTACAGACTGACTTTTTCCACTTGTAAATGAAATCTGATAAGTTCCTAAATTCCATAACAATGTATTTTGTTGTAACTTATTTATTAAATAAATTAATTAATCATGGGCCTTAAGTGACAAAACACAAGACCTAATAACGTTTAAGCCTCAATATAATAGAACCAAAATTGAAATCACTCTATCTTTTTTCATTATAATGAACATACGAAAAAAAAATCAAGTTACAGTGAAATCGTTTTAAAATATTTTACTTCTTTTAAGTTGAGGCGAATTCAAATTTACTAACTTATGGCTCCTACTATCAATTTATACTTTTTGGTATATTTCACAGTATTTTAATTATGTATACGATGAAAGGTAAATAATGTGAACTCGACAATCAGAAAATTAGATTGAAGCAATTAAATTGAAACAATTTATCTTACAGTGGCCATCCGATCCCGAAGGTGCAGTATACTGAAACAGAAATCAAAACATGGTAAGTTTATATTCAATTGGCGCAAAACAGCTAACACAATTTGCTGGCACAAGCGACGTTTTGAACATGAAAAGATTTGCCGACGGCGAATTTACCGAACAAAAGCTCTCTCCCAACGATAAAGACTTTTGCTCCGCGACAAAACGTATTAGACTCTGTTATTACATTCATATTCAGTAACTACTGGGCGTTGGTAGGGACCGGTTAGCTTAAATTAATTTTGTTAAGGTTTGACTGTCAATACAATGTTAATTATGTGTTTTTGTAAACACGATAATGGATGTAAAAATAAAAAAATAAAATCATATTAAAGTAGGTGTGTAGAAGGATACATACTTTAATTTCTGATCATTACAAGCATATTGAAATTTTGAATCATATTTTTAGAATCTCAACAGGAAGCTCAATTTGCTATACACTTTGAATTCGCAACATTAATTAATACAATATGAAAAAGGTTTTTTTTTTAATATTTGACTTATTATATTTTTGAGATGCTATGTAGCCAGTACAGTCGAGATGCAAGGTAAAAAGTCACTTGTTGTGAAACGTTTATCGATCAATATCAATTACCCGTGTCGGAGAGCTCTCGGAAACTCATTTCGCGTGTACGAGATCATTATTAGTTTGTAAACTTAACTGACCTTCCAGGGGAATTGTGTTCCGTGAGCTTCACAAACTTTACCAGAAACACGCTTGTCCTGAGTACTTAGAGAACTGGCCCCAACTTGTCAAGTACTGCGGCTACAGGGAGGACAACTTGCCTCAGGTGATAACTTTGTAACATCATCTCGAAACTTGTACTCTACGCATTGTTCTGAAAACTCAAAACATTAATCTTTCACCTCTGTATTTATTTTATACTGTCGTACAAAAAACAAACAAATGCTTATATTTAACGTCCATAATATTTAAAGCTATCCAAAACTTTCACTGTAGTATTGAACTGACTTTTACAGTAGGTAACAAAATAAAATACCCTTAAGAGTGAGAAATCTTAAAGTCTTTTTTATTTTAAACTAGCTGATCCGGCAGACTTCGTAGTGCCTCAATCGATAAATAAAAGACCTAAACATTTGTATAAAATAAACTTAAAACAAACAAAAGGAATTTTCATATTTATCTACCTTTTAAACCTTCTCTGGACTTCTACAAATAATTCAAGACCAAAATTAGCCAAATCGGTCCAGCCGTTCTCGAGTTTTAGTGAGACTAACGAACAGCAATTCATTTTTATATATATGGATTCCTGCATTCTATTCATATGAATTAATTAACGGCGAAGATAAAAGCGATTCTGGCAGCTCTACCGTAAGCTATCTTCCTAATTATCTCGTGCGAAAAAAAATATTGTTACTCTGTGGGAGTACAGAGGTACAGATGCTATTTTAATGAACACCAACATTGTAACATAGCCAGTACTAATAAAAATACGTAGTTCTTACCCAACCTTTGGCTCGTAGCCAATGTTTTTAGGTAGCGAAATGCTTGCACGTGAAATTGTGTAATTTATATTAAATATTTCAGCTAGAAGATGTGAGTTCATTCTTGAAACGAAAAACTGGCTTTCAATTGCGCCCTGTTGCCGGCTATCTCTCGCCGAGGGACTTTTTATCGGGTCTTGCTTTCCGTGTTTTCCACTGCACCCAATACATTCGTCACTCGTCTGATCCTTTCTACACTCCGGAACCGTGAGTTTCAAAGTAATTCTATTAGCTCTAATTCAAAAACTGTTCGAAAGCCCCACACTAACAGCATTAAATTTTTACTGGTGATAGGTCCTCTTGTGAGTCCGCACGGGTAGGTACCACCTCCCCGCCTATTCCTACCATGAAGCATTAATGCGTTACGGCTTGAAGGGTGGGGCAGTCGTTGTAACTATACTGTGACCTTAGAACTTATATCTCAAGGTGGGTGGCGCATTTACGTTGTAGATGTCTGTGGACTCCAGTAACCACTTAACAACAGGTGGGCTGTGAGCTCGTACACCTATCCAAGCAATAAAAAAAAAAATGCAATCGATCTAGTTTCGTTAATCACAATTAGTAGATTCTTTAAAATTAAAATTTAATAGTCATTGTCCGTGACTTCCAAAACTTTAAAGTATTCGGAACGTCAGAAATAGTATATTGACAATAATAAACGCGACAGTAAGCCGTTCATTCCAATAATCTCGCGTGAAAACCGAACGAAGTACCATAATGTAATACATTCATGTTTTTGTAAACATTATTTTATCTATGTTTGTTTGTCCATCAGTTTTGTAAGCTCTTACTCCCTGAACCGAAGGGTCCATATAAATTCTAGACATAATTTAATCTTCACAGCGATTGCTGCCATGAACTTCTCGGGCACATGCCGCTGCTAGCTAATCCAAGTTTCGCGCAATTCTCTCAAGAACTCGGCTTGGCGTCTCTCGGCGCGTCTGATGCAGACATAGATAAATTGGCTACCGTACGTATTAGCCTGCATATTTTAAAAGTTCAATGGTGACGTATAAAATTTAAACGAAATTATTTTACTATATTCGTAATGAAAATTAAAATAATGTCTTGTATTTTTGTAGTTGTATTTCTTCACGGTTGAATTTGGCTTGTGTCGTCAACCGGATGGCTCTTTTTGCGTTTACGGAGCTGGACTGCTTTCGTCTGTGGCTGAACTCCAACATGCCCTCACTACGCCGGAAAAAATAAAGCGTTTCGACCCCGATATTACTGTACATGAAGAATGCATCATCACTTCATACCAAAACGCTTATTATTATACCGATTCCTTTGAAGAGGCGAAGGAGAAAATGAGGTCAGTAATATAATAAAGATTATTATTGAGCACCTCGCTATTAATACGAGACTGTACAAACAGAATACCAATTTTCATAAGCGACTTGAAACATTACACTTATTTATACGTTATTTCGAATATTTCGTCATTCATTCGCAAAGAATAGCAGAATATGACAGATGGATTACATTCATTGTCATTGATTTTTTATGTTTGCGTTTTTTAAATAATTAATATACCATTTCCAAATCGAAACAATAATTTAGCTTATCCTAACATTTCTTAGACTATACTGTACTATTGTATATTTCGCGTCATTACGAGTTACATGAACGAATACGGAATTCAGGTCGGGTAATATTTTTACATTCACGATTCCGTAGTATATTCGTGAAAATTTCACATTTTCTGTATGGAGTGGCGTGGCGAAGCCCGTAGCATCGGCAACCGCTCATCATCAGGTGGACCGTATGCTCGTCTACCTTAAAGGACAATCAATAAAAAAATCCTTAGTAAAAACTTTATAATAATACTAATCTTGAGACGCTCTGCGTAAAACACAAAAATATAAGAGGAATGATAACACTATAAGCGTCGATTTAAATTGTTTCAGAGCATTTGCTGAAAGCATACAACGCCCTTTTGGAGTCAGATACAATCCATACACTCAAAGCGTCGAGGTACTGAGTAATGCACAGAAGATTACTGCTCTGGTCTCTGAGTTACGAGGAGATTTGTGCATTGTGTCTTCGGCTATAAAGAAAATATCAGCTCAGGATTCGACATTAGATGTAGAGTCCATTGCTAATATGCTTCATACTGGTCTTCAGGTAAGCTTTCCTCAAAAATTTGATGTTTTTCGGCATCTTATCCATTATAGACGTATGCAGCAATTATTACTCTATGTTTTGACGTATTCTGTAGTATAATACATACACCAGACACATTAACCGCCTTTTTCCGAACTCCAATTAAAAAGTTGACATTGAGTTTTGGAACGTAATCTACATATAATTTGTTGTTGTCGTGTCTGTTGGTAGCCGAATCTCAGAATTTATCCCTAAAAATAAATACAAATCTTCAGTAGGAGAACGTCACACGAAGCAACAAAGCGTGTCGGAAACTGGCACTTACCTAATATCGTACCGGCTTTGCTACAGACTTGTAGATGTAATATTTATAAAATATATACCGGCGTGTAAGGAATGATCGAGAAATAATAATATTAGCCCGACATAACACACGAAGCACAAAGCTAAAATAATTCGCCATTCGAATTGGCAACCGTTCTATTTCAATTATGTATTACAATTTAAGAAGAATTACATACTGAACCGGCGTGAGCATGTATGTTACATTGTTATTAATTTGCGTATAAAATTATATTGGTTCGTTGATGACGTAAATACGTGCTATTGGATTGGGCACTCACGCATGAGAATCTTAGTATTAGTACAGCAGTAAAAGCAAGTGAGCCTCTTTTGATAAGCTTTATAAAACGCATTGAGCTTGCCACATAACATTTTAAATTCACATAAATATTATTATTTTTTATATTATGAGCGCGTACGATTTTTGTGTATGTTATGACATTGTGCGAGTCTTTGATCATTTGACCAAACAATCTACATGTTTCATCGTATTTTTCGCTGCGAAATCGTTTAAATGGATCACAAAAATCGTGTTCCAGTGGGTGTGAAAATGATTTAACGGCGCATTAAAAAATAGGCCAATAAATAAACAAATCATAGTCTGAAAACTAAATTGAGTTATTAAAAAAAATGAAGTATGTGTTATTATACATGTCATTGTATACTATATACATATTTGCTCGCAGTATATAGTTGTTGTCATACAAACGCAAATAGTAAGGCCGGAGAGAAATTGTTTACATTTACAAACAAACTTATACACCGCATTGAACTTATCAGACAAGTAATTGCGCTATGACATTTAGGAGAAATACAAAGGATATTTATAGCGTAGGCGGTATGTGGGGAGGTTAATAAAATGCTAGAAAACATTTTCTACATGAGGAATAATACATCCGTTAACATGTAATTCGTTCTACCAAGGCGGATATTTAGGAATGAATCCGAGATTTTTGACATTGTTGCCACAACTTTATAGGGCTTTATGTTATTTTTATTTTTTGAAACCCTAAAGTACAAAGCGTAAAGTAAAAAGTAATTATTTGGTATTTTTTCATTAAAATGTAATTTGTTTTTTTATATTACTCTAATGGAGTTTTTTTTGTATCAAATATTCTTGATTCCCGTAGAAGAGCAGGTGACCTTATTGCTCTGTTCTTGTTAAGTAGCCATGGGGCATGAGTTCAAAGTTACAAATACAATAGAAAAATATCTACCCGATTATTCAGGTCGGAACGTATAGCTGCATACCCATAATATACTTTAATCACAATTTCACAACAGTTTATCTCTCAAAACGGTTGCACGAGAAGTTTAAAAATTCTAATGAACTAAACTGCGACGAAACGGCCGTTCTATTTTTAACTATCGTGATTCATAGAACAACAATTCTATTAGGTTCACGATCGGAGTCCACAGAGCACGTCTGGAGCGAGCACTCCTAATTCTGAACGCGGTACTTCGCCAGCAAGGCTAGAGAAAACCGAAGAAACTCTTAAAACCGACGAAGAAAAACCAACTAAAAACTAATATCGAAATTACGCTCATGAAACGTTTTGACGTGTATCGCTTCTATAGATTGTCAGAAGTAGTGGAGCAAAATCAATTAGTTCGTATTGTGTTTAGTATTAAAGTAGATTTTAGTTTGCAGCAAAATGTTACGATATGACGTTATGGAATTAATTATTGCTAATATCCTATATACTTTGTATTTAAATAAAAATGCTGTGTTTTCAATAATTTAGAAAATAAAGTAGATTAAAAGTACTACAGAAAAAAAATTAATGTGTAGTAAACTATTTATCGCTAGTATATCGTGTTATGTGATGTAGTGTATGTTCTTGAATATGATAAGAGTTAACTATCGATGTATACGTTTAAAAATGAGTAAAAATCTGTAATAAATATCATATACAGTATTATTGTTAGATACCATTTATTGTTATTAAAGTTTCAGCATCGAAATTCGTTTGTTTTTATTCTTCCTATTACTCTCAGATGTAACAACACTCTCGGACAAAAATCGACAATGGTATTAAATGGCTGTCGAACGATATGTTAGTACCTAATAAATATGTATATGGTACTTATAATAAATACATTATTTATTTATTTATTTACTTTCAAAAACAACTGTTTTCAAACTAATCACTTCATTTCCAACGAGGCCTTTGTGACATTCTTACTACACAGAAATACGAACTTTGACCAGAAACAAAAGGAAAGTAAAACAAATGAATTGCAAAATTACCAACGATCGAACAATACGCGAATATATTTAGTACATTTCCACAAAATAATACAAAAGAACTCTGACTTCAACGAAGATCAGTAGTCCATGTCAACTGTGAAATCGTTTTGTGCACGCGATTCCACACGAATGCATTTCGATTCTATTTCCGCTGTGAAGATAATACTTCCAACGGAACTCACTATCGGCACCGATGAAAAGACACGTGAAGCACGTACTTTGTACCCCGGTATCCTTTAAAAATACAATAAGAGCCAAAAAGTCACTGATTTAGACGAAATATCTAGCTATTTTAGAGGATCGTACGTCTGGTTATAGGAATGTAGCCCCATTACTACTGCCCTACATATGAAAGAGGTTTATTAATTTACTAGCTTTTGCCCGCGACTTCGTCCGCGTGGAATAGTTCACAAATAATGCTTTATTTTAGACCAAATTTGGTTAGCATAAAAACGTTTTAGTGAACCAACCTTAACATATAGACATATGCTGTCGCGGACTTTTTTTAGATCTTTTAAAGGGGAACAATTGTGTCATATATTATTTTAGCGAAACTTTAACCGTTTCTACAGCGCATGCAGCGGAAACTCTCAAAACCCGATTTTGAAACATTCCTTATTGGTGCTCCGCTTGTATTGGTCTTAGCGTGATTTTATATACCCTATAGCCTTCCTCAATAAATAGGCTATCTAACACTGAACATTTTTTTCAAATCGGACCAGTAGTTCCTGAGATTAGCGCGTTCAAACAAACAAACTCTTCAACTTTATAATATTAGTATACATTTATAAACTTAGCCTTCCATTTATCCCTATGCCGATTTGTCAACCTTCAGCCATACGTAAGTGGGGCACCGAAGTCTGGCAAAGAAAGAAAAAAACGCAACCGTTCATAAAATGGTAAATCCAATTACAACATCTAGAGTAAAAAAAGAACGGGAATATTGCCAACCCTACCTAGCGGATCAAGAAAAGAAGTTATACGAGCATTTCGTTAAACTATATTTCGTTGCCTTGAACTAAGTTCAGTGAACGAAAAATAAAATAAAAAAGAATAATATTATGATGAATGGTGAACTTTCTTGAAATATATTTTACCTACAATCGAAATTGTTAATTCCCGAAAGATCAAAATACAAAATAAAAATCTCAAGGTCCACTCGATACCCAATAGATATTATCGGAATGCCACCAATCCACTCTGAGATTTTTGGTTGAAGTCTCCATCTTATTGTAACACCCATGAGTGGTTCACGGCAGAATTAGGCGAAATTAGCACACACAGTATGCTTTAACACAGTATTATAAAAATTTTTGTTTTTATACTATCGGTTAGGGCTATCTGTTCCATTTTTATTTTTTTATTTTTTTAAGGGGTTACGGAGCCCTTAGACATCTACAGCCCAAACAGCGCGTCACCCACTTTGAGATATGATTTTTAAGGACTCAGTTTTTAGAGTACAACGGCTGCCCCACTTTTTAAACCGAAACGCATTACAGTTTCACGGCAGCAATGGTCAGTGTACCTACCCGTGGAGACTCACAAGAAAGACCCTCTATCACTAGTAATTACGCCAATAAAATTAATTTTTATAAGTAATTTTCGATCGTATGGTAACCACGATACTTAAAGAATGAATTAAGAATGAAAATTATAATTTATTATTTGATTACTCAAATTCATACTTTTCCAATACGTTCTTTTTCACATTTCATACTAAGAATACAAAAAAAAAATACGTTTCATAAAATTAGTTAGCTTATTAACTTTTGAACCATTAAAACTAATTGATAGGTAAACAAAATTACAATATAAGTATATTATGTACTCAATAAATATAATATTATTATTGGTTGTTGTTGATTAAGTTTCAGTTGAGCCTTTACAGTAAAACTCCGCGTAGAAGGTACACAATCTCCGTCTTGCAGTGTGGGTTGACAGTGGTTTTAATGTTACAATTTTCCACCTAATTTAAGGAAGTGTGTTAATCATTACATAAGCGAAGGGCTAACCCATCTAAGATCCATAATAAAAATCGTAAAGGTAATAAGATCGTAATCGAAAAGCACATTCAAAGTTTAAGATTTGCCCATAAACTATTAGTTGTCCGTAGCTAAAATAGAAGTAACGTATCAATTCAGTGGTTTTAAGTGTCTATGAACCGTTTTTTTTTATTGCTTAGATGATGAGATGGACGAGCTCACAGCCCACCTGGTGTTAAGTGGTTACTGGAGCTGATAGACATCTACAACGTAAATGCGCCACCCACCTCGAGATATAAGTTCTAAGATCTCAGTATAGTTACAACGGCTGCCCCACCCTTCGAACCGAAACGCATTACTGCTTCACGGCGGAAATAGGCGGGGTGGTGGTACCTACCCGTGCGGACTCCCAAGAGGTCCTACCACCAGTGAAATAACCTACACTCATGATATTACCTATAATTGTATCGAGGATTATTGGAATAGTAAACATTTTATAAATAGCGGATTTAACTGAATTGCTACTATTATAATCATTTTCAGAGTCGTTAATCGATAATATTATTCGTCTTAAATAGAAAAGTTTTACTATCGCTGTTATAGCCTATGTAAGAAACTGTTTTAGAATTCATTGTTCTTTAATTTAAAGACGTATTGGTTCGCGTAAAGGGTTACATTTAATTGTATTAATTTATTTTACTTATTAAGAACTTATAACATTTATCACATTTAGAATTTTATTTTTTTAATAAGCCGTGGGTTGCTATACTTAGCTAAACGAATAAATTGAAATTATGATATAAATATTATGGATTAAAAATATTGAATAATTAGGATCTACCAATGCTCTTGTTATAATAAACAAATTTCATTAAAGACTACGCGTCTTTGTTTTCAGTTAAAATTAAAACTTGTTTTGAACAATTTTTAATTGCAAAGTTTAGTACACGCCTATTAATCGTCTTAACAATATTATTAGTAGCGAGGGAAGATGATGAAGCGTCACACATACAATGTACTTAATAAATATAGTTACATGTGTGATTAATTTCTTAATGATATTGATACCTAATGTTCCTATATAAAGATAAACTGTTTTTAATAAATTCATAACGAGAAACCCTGTGCCGTATATAATTTTATCGCAATAAGACGAGCGATTAACACAGTAAGCGAACAAATATACACAAATACTAATACATTCCCTCCATGGTGTTTCCCGAGCGCTATGATATATCCTTCTTCAAACGAGGTTTGTGGAGAGTACTTAACGGTAGGCAGCGGCTTGGCTCTGCCCATGGCATTACTGAAGTCCATGGGCGACGGTAACCACTCACCATCAGGCGTATGCACGTCTGCCTACACGGACAATAACAAAAAAAACCTTTCGAAATCATAGAGACGCGTTACTCGCATTCACAGTGGAAACAATCAAGAATAAAACTACAAAAATCACTTTTAAAATATCGATCTAAACTTGGACGGTGTCCAAGGTGACAAAACTGGAATATCGGTAAAATCATACGAAGCTCTAGTCTAATATATTACGTGTTTAGATTCAAATATCGATGAATACCTTTTACGAAGAAGACCTTCTAGGTTATGATAAATTGGTTTTCTTTTTTCTATTAATTGATTAATTGAGTGAAGTTTTGTATTACTAAGTAGACTCTGCGATCTATTTAGTTATAAGGATGGATAGAAAAATCAGATTATCGCATTGTATATAAGTTGTCAAATCATTCCATTCACAACGCGATTATCTTGAAATGAGTAGGTTAGTACGTACAGAAGTAACCACTATAAATCACTATTTTGTTTCGAGAAATTAAAGTATTCACGAATTCTAGTACTGAATATTAGGTGCTAAGTACTTTGTATGGATCAATAAATATCTAAATTATTCATGGAATCTTTTAGTATAATGTTTTATCAAATGTATAATAACATTTATTACATAATATTAAGCTCAGTTATATTTTTTAGAATCTACTCGCAGAAGAAGCCAAAATAGAAAACCGTAACACGAAATAGGAAAGCACGCTTCGGAATGCATTTGAAACAAAACATGCGGACAGTAATAAACATATTACGTCACTTCCGTTGCAACTAGACCAAAACTAGAACAGTATATTTGTTAGTTAATTAAATTTCGAACTAAATTTTGTATTGCATGCTATATGCTGTGTCGTTGATTGCAATCGATTAGGTATATAGTGTGAATTCGGCTTCATGAATTTCCACGCGCTGTAGCGATCGTTCCAATTATGAGTATGCGGATGGTAAGCCACGTCACATAGGTGCATTAAAAGCCGGGTCCTTGGCAATGCTTCTTGAATTTAATTATAACTAGTCTCGTATCTGTCAAAATCGTATGGAAGTTGGCAAGTGACCGACGAGAGTTGTGGCTAAAATTAGAATATAACATTGAAAATTTCGTTGTCACACTTTCGTATGATCATTTTTTTTAAGTTTATTTACTCTATTCGTTCAATTTTATGTTAAGAATTCGGCTATATTATAAATATGATACGATATTCCAAAACGTGTGTATTGAATCGAAAAAAAAAGAACTCTCTATAATCCCGAATGAGATTTAAAAGTTTCGGTAGCTGCGTAATAATGTATTGATTAATTATTAATTGATACATCAAATTGTTGTTCGTTCATTAAATCATGAAGAAATGAATGTGAATTCATATTACAATTACAAAAGTGTCTCTAACACTAATTGAATATTAATAAGAATAAAACTTTAATATTTTTGGTCATTTATAGTACAAACAGTACATAAATGAGTTTAATTTCGTCGATTAACCGATTTATTTGTTTACGATACGAATTCCATACACATGGCATTGCCAGTTGCAGCTAAAAAGTTTTTGCCACTTTTTGAGTGTGTTACGACAGGAGGAGTGAAATCGCGTCAGCTTCCAGCGGGAAAGCCCGGCGGCAGTCGCGTCAAGATTCCGCCGCGTCGGCACGCCGCGGTCGCCGCTGCTCGCTTCTCCCGCCGCAAATCAATATTACCGTATTTACCGTGATCCCTAACGTACACACTTTATTACAAGTAAACATTTTACGATCGCTTAAAAAGTTTTATCGCTCCGCGCTTGACTTCGCTACTGCATTTTGCCGCATCCCTGTTGACTTCGAGACGGCTTATCGGCGCGATGTAAAGTCGCAATGTAAACAATCGCCGCGAAAATAAACTCCCGTAACAGCTGATACTTTGCGAGAGCGGCTGATCGTTTCGTGAATAACATTCGGTCTTTTGCACAACAATACGTTATAATAAAACGAATTCGTAGATAAAATTCTATGATTCTAGAATAAAACGAGAAATCAAGAATCGCGTTTGATTTAATTTTAAATCGAAACTACGTTGATGAAACCCAGAGCGGTGTTTCGAAATTTTATGAGCGGCGATTTGGTGACGCATAGGTAAATGTCGGGATTGTATGGAGTTGGTAATAGATCGACTGCGTTTTGAGCGTTTAGCGGTCGGTGCTGCGAAGGCCGGGTCTTACGTCGAGGCGGCATCGTTGTTCGGGGGACATTGGTGAGGTGCGCGGGCGCGGCGTCACGCAACCGGCTCGCCATGTCTCCCGCGTCTATCCGTCAGTGTTCAGTTAAACCCTGCACGCGTTGAGGACATGCCTGCGTTATGGATTATCAATGCATCGTCGTCTACACCGTCATCAATATCGCTCCACCGCGTCTTACAGCTCAAGCCTCCGAATTCTCAAACGGCTGTGTCACCTGGTTCAAGAATAAAATTAAAAAGTGAGTTTTAAACAATCCTAGCTATCTAAAAGCTTAAAATAAAATTTTCTCGGAAAAAAATATGTGAAATTTTAATCATTTCGCTAGAAAATTATTTATAAGTACAATTCAACCAAATATTTTTGTTCTTAATAACTCATACTATGTCTACGTTAATAAATTTGTCATAAATTTCAATGTTACTGGCTACATTTATAAAATCTATTGAAAAACTCGATTAGATAAAGATGTAAAATAAAATAATATTTTTACGGCATAACAACTGAAACTGAAATGAAGACACATCTTAGTTTCCGCTCTACTCAGCTCTGTAATTTCCTTTGACAAATGGCACATTCGCAATCTGTCGCCTTTACATTGCATTGCACTTTCACGAAACAAAACTTTTAACACAACTTTTTAACTCTTGAACATATCAAATCAATACGATATTTAGCCGAAGCGTATTTGAAATCTGATTCTGGCCAGTGCGTATTCAAAATAAAAATAAAACCTAACAATCCAACAGCGTTTATTTAAATATACATATTTGTTTTCTTGTACATAATAATTGGAGAGGTATAAAATCTGAAATGATTCAAAAAAAAAATCTTACAATTAATAAGTCTTAATTAATTTATATAATCACAAACCTTATAAGACTTTGGATGAGACTTAACAGCGCTCGAAGCCCGTTCTTAATACTGTGTACAATGAGAATAATTAGTTACACGCGGTGATCGTTAGCAGAAGGCTACCCCGACCCTCCAAACTCATTGACAAAAGAAGCACTAAGCAAACGTATGGCTCATAGTTTTATTACAAGCATTTTGTCAACAGACCACGTCATTATATTAAGACGGGTGACGTAGTAACGATCTTATAAAATGAAATCATCGTCGATCTCATTCGACGTCCACGAACGTTATTAACTTAACTAGCGACCCGCCCTCGCTTCGCTTCGGAAACATTAAAACACACATGAAACCAAGAAAAAAAAAAAAAAAAAAAAAAAAAAAAAAAAAGTAGCCTATGTTCATCAGGTACAATGTCGGCTTCTAATGGAAAAAGAATTTTTCAAATCGGTCCAGTAGTTTCGGAGCCTATTCGAAACAAACAAACAAACAAATCTTTCCTCTTTATAATATTAGTATAGATTGAATTGTATTTAACCTCAACGTAAGAGAAAGCTTTATCAAAACCTGAACATTTTTCGGGTAAGGCTGCCGGGACAAAGGGTTATTCGTTTTCATTAACAGTTTCGCTTTAATTAAATACCCTTTTACACCGTATGTAATTATAGCATAAGTTGCACGAAAGCTTTTAACTTGTGCGCCTCAGGGAATTTTGAATAAAAACAAAAGTCACACAAATCAACTGCTGTGCGTTGTATTCTAAATATGCATGAGCATATAGAATGAAATTAAAGAGTGCCTTATCACTATGTAAATTGGAATGGATCGGTATTTCTGACCACTCCATTTCTGCTGAAATTTAGATGAATTTTATATTTAATTACTAGCTGATCCGGCAGACTTCGTAGTGCCTCAATAGATAAATAAAAAACCTAAACTTTTGTATAAAATAAACTTAAAAAATCCGTCCGGCGGGGGATACATCAAAGGGAAAACAAAATTGTTATTTTTATTTAAATCCTAGCTTTTTCATATTTATCTATTATTATATTATAATTTAAACCTTCTCTGGACTTCCACAAATATTTCAAGTCCAAAATTAGCCAATTCGGCCCAGCCGTTCTCGAGTTTTAGCGAGACTAACGAACAGCAATTCATTTATATATATATAGATAAATAATCATAGTATAATTTAATTCCTTTCAGACAGATTTAGAATATGACAGGTTAAACGAATGTAAATTCTAATATAAAAGAAAAGAGAAAAAAAGGGAAAAGGAAAAAAAAAGGTGGCAAAGCTAATGCTGTTCAAAGTAGGTACATCGAACAGCTCTGATTTTCAGTCACCCCTGTTCTCCTTTGGTTTGTTGTGGTTATTATATCATAATGAAAATTAATTACGCGGCTTAATCTCGCATTTTTCAAATTATCATTATATTATTTCTGACGTTTCAAAAGTTTTATAGTTTTTAGGGCCAGCGACGGCTTCACGAAATCTAAAATTGTTTAATTAATTGAAAAATTAATGTTTAATTAGTTAAAAAAATGTTTTAATTTTAAGGGTAGAACAACGGTTGTTCTATCTCACGGAAAGAGACATTTTGTGTGACGCGACTTGATCCGTTAGACTACAAGTTTTTCTGTACATTTAAAAAATATAATTTATTATTTCAACTAAAATTAATGAGTCTGTAAAATCGATAAATGTCTTTAACAGTTTTTTATTGCTTACACGGGTTAGCGATCTCATGTTCTTATTTGATGGATACCGAAGCCTTCAAAATTACATTCAGAATGCTACGACTTTTCTTGAGACATGAGGTATAACTCTCAATCATCGGTAGGTCTCACTTTTCAACAACGTATTGAAAGCTCACACGCGTACCGTAGCACGCGTACAATACAATACATACTTACAATACGTTCTAATACAAAGTAAATATTGTATATTAGGTATTGTAATTCTTATAAAACTTAAAGTATGTATAGTTACGAACGTCAAAAACCAGTTTGTCCAGTAATTTATCCATCCAATAGGTATATTTAATGACAATGAACGTTTCAAGGGCTCTCGTCTTTTTATAAACCCGAGCTCGTGGTCTATATTAACTACTCGTTCGATAAACGCGTAAAACAACGTTATTTCGAACAATATTGAATTTACCGATAACTGTTAGTACACACGTGGGTAGCGAAGCACTAATAATTGAACGCAGCGAGCTACTACGAGTATATTTGACATTTTTTTGTCATAATTAAGCGGTTTTGTGTATTAAAATAAATCGTCGGTTTTTAAATTAATAATGAGTACATAATTGAGTTCTTTTAGTTTCGAGAAATTTTAATACTATTGTTTATATGTACATTCTGATTTGCCTCTGGAAACAGTTAGACTAAACGATGTCTATTATCCAGCAAATGGTAGACCATTTCGGATAATGTACAGTATTCTACGTCAGTGATTTCTTTTATAGTTTTTTTTCTGTTTATGTCTTAAAAGCCATAGTGTTTATATTCACTAAATGTAACCAAATAAACACCTCTTTCTCTGTATACAATGTACTACAAGTTTATATTGTTTTCACAAAAAGTACACATCGCGTGATTTTGATTTGATAACTCGCGAAACAGCTATGCCTAGAACATTAATCATGTCGCACTGTAATATTTGTATACCAAAAAATAATAAAATATCCAAAGATCAATAAACCATTTGCAAATTATACGGATGAACCAACTACGTGAAATTGCTCATATAACAATTTTTTTTTTTAAATAATGTATTTTTCAAAAGCTAATAAGTTTATTTTTATATTCACAGAGCTCTTGCAGTGTATCTTCATTCTCTGAAATTAAATCCAAGCAACGGAATCGTGCACGGTAACTTAGCGTGTCTCTATTACAAACAAGGCTTCATAGACCTAGCCATCGATACATACAAGCGCGCTATAGAACTACAGCCTGACTTTCCGGACGCGTACTGCAATCTAGCTAATGCACTCAAAGAGAAGGGCCTTGTGACCGAAGCAGAGGAGTGCTATTTCAAAGCACTAAGTCTATGTCCCACACATGTAGATACACTCAATAATCTTGGCAACGTCAAAAGGGAACAAGGGAAAATTGATGAAGCTACAAATTTATACATGAAAGCCTTGGAGGTGTTCCCTAATTTTGCGGCAACTCATAGCAATTTGGCATCCCTTTTACAGCAACAAGGTATGTTCTTAAGAATCTAATTTGAGTTTAACTCAGAAGGCAGCCCGTGTTATACATAGTTTCATATTGATTAAATGAATCAAATATTTTTATCATCATACTCGATTGTAGAAACACGAATGAAATATAAGGTAAATTATGTAATTTATATTAGTAAAAATTGGCTACTGAGCTCATAGCCTACCTGATTTTAATCGGTTATTATAGCTCGCTGACAATATGGATGCCACTTTGAGATCTAAAGGTGAAGTGTCACTTTGCATTAATACAACGGTGAATTGAGTTTTAAAGCTCATTCATATTAATGCTTTGTAGTAGAAGACAGGTTAAAAGGTAGCCACGCATACAAGCTTGAAACATGCTCTAATTGCTAAATATAAGTAATATAAATTATTTCTTATGTTTTTTTCTGTTTATTCCTTATTATTTATAATTTTTATGGATACATTAATAATATATTTGCTTTACAGGTAAACTACATCAAGCTCTATTTCACTATAAACAGGCTATCGGTATACAACCTAAGTTCGCAGATGCTTACAGTAATATGGGTAACACTCTTAGAGAGCTGCAAGACATGACGGGAGCACTTGCATGTTTCAAAAAAGCTATTGAAATAAATCCTACATTTTCTGATGCACATTGTAATTTAGCCAGCATTTACAAAGATACTGGCAACATCAAAGAAGCTATTGAGTCATACAAAAACGCTCTGTATTTTAAACCTGATTTTCCCGATGCTTATTGCAATTTAGCGCACTGTTTACAAATTGTTTGCAACTGGGATGACTACTACGAACGAATGCATAATATTATAGAAATAGTCAATAAACAATTAAAAATGGATAAACTTTCTTCTGTGCATCCACACCATTCCATCTTATATCCACTTACGAATGAAGCCAGGCGAGAAATTGCCACTCGACATGCAAATTTGTATATAGACAAACTTCATTTTTTGCAAAATACTGTCACGTTTCAACACCCCAAAGTTATGGAAGGTCGATTACGAATTGGTTACGTAAGCAGTGATTTCGGTAATCATCCAACCTCACATTTAATGCAGTCCATTCCGGGTAGCCATGATCGTTCCAAAGTGGAAGTTTTTTGTTATGCACTCAACGCTGATGATGGTACAACATTCCGTAGAAAAATAGTTGAAGAATCTGAAAATTTTATCGATTTATCTTGTATCCCTTGCAATATGGAAGCGGCTACAAGAATCCACAGAGATGGTATCCATATCTTAATTAACATGAACGGTTATACAAAGGGAGCTAGAAACGAAATTTTTGCTTTAAAACCAGCGCCTATTCAGGTTATGTGGTTGGGATATCCGGGGACAAGTGGAGCGGGCTACATAGATTATATGATAACTGATGAAGTTTCCGCACCTTTGTCGTTATCAGAAGATTTTAGTGAAAAATTTGCATATATGCCGCATACTTATTTTGTTGGTGATCACAAAAAAATGTTTCCTCACTTAAAAACGAAGTACAAGGTACTGATTGATAATAATTCGATAGCTCATGAAAATGTAGCACTGATTAATTCGTCTGAATTTATTAATATTGATGAAGTTTTTAATGTAAGATGTGATAAGACAATTGTATCCTTCGAAAATCTCGAAGAAATTGAATTTATTATAAGAAAAGTAAACATTCCGAATTATGTACTCGATACGACAATTAATCCTAAGCAAGAAAAGGTAACTTTTGAAAATTTGCTTATAGTTTTTAGAGGTACCGTAAATCGTAATTTATCCATTATATGTATTACAGGTCTTAGTCAACGGTACTGTCATTGATAATGGTATATCAATAAATTATTCCAGTAAGAGAGTTGCATCCGGTGAAGTTTCTTTTGAAAATATTGTTTTTACGTCCAGAAAGCAGTACGGCTTACCTGAAGATGCAGTTGTTTTTTGCAATTTCAATCAGCTATACAAAATTGATCCAAGAATAATGGAATCTTGGGTAACTATTCTGAAACTGGTCCCTAATAGCGTACTGTGGTTGTTAAGTTTTCCTGCTGCTGGAGAACCTAATATTCAGAAATATGGGCTAAATTTAGGTAAAGACTCCCAAACAGAATGTAAAAATAACTAGCAAATGGACATTCTTACATAACTATTTCACATTTAGGTTTAACACCAGGACGTATTATTTTCTCTAAAATTGCTTGTAAAGAAGAACACGTAAGACGTGGACAGTTAGCAGACATCTGCTTAGATACACCACTTTGCAACGGCCACACAACGACGATGGACATCCTCTGGACTGGCACTCCAGTGGTTACTCTGCCCGGAGATACGCTCGCTTCAAGGTATTCGTAAAATGTTTAACATAAACTCAGATAAACATAAGCAGTTCACTTCACAAAATAAAATGATAAATCAAAATTTGTTTAGTGCGGTGCGTAACGTAAGCCTCAAGTTTATTATTGTTTACGTTTCATAATTTCAGAGTTGCTGCATCCCAGCTAACAGCACTTCATTGTACGGAGCTCATTGCTAAAAATAGAAAGCATTACGAAGATATAGCCATCAAATTAGGAACTGATTCTGCATAGTAAGCGTTTTTTTGTGGATAACTGAAATTGAAATTAGTAGTAACAAAAACATCGTTTTAACTACTTACTATTTTCAAGACATACTGCTATTTAAGTGGCGGTTAAGCTATAGACTTTCTTACTATAAACCTTGATAGAGCTTGAGATCGATATTTTAATTCTATACAAAATAACCTCCTCTTGTGACATCTTGTGAGTCCTCACGGGTAGGTACCACCACCACAAGCAGTAATGCGTTTCGGTTTGAAGGGTGAGACAGTTGTAACTATACTTGAGACCTTAGAACTTATATCTCAAAGTGGGTGGCGCATTTACGTTGTAGATGTCTATGGGCTCCAGTAACCACTTAACATCAGGTGGGCTGTGAGTTCGTCCAAACATCAAAGCAAAACAAAAAAAAAATTGCAATCATATTTTTGTAAAAATCTAGCTTTTATTTATATGATTTTGTCAATGCATAGTGTTTAACATGGTGTATTTCGAATTACTTTAAAGTACAAAATATTTAATAGACTCCGGGTATTCAGTTCGTGAAACTAAATTTAAAACTTTGTCTTTCACAGCCGGCGATATATTCGTGCGAAAGTTTCGAAAGCTCGTTTAGAAAGCACGTTGTTTGACTGCGAGCATTATGCAAGAGGCTTGGAGAGCCTTTACTCTAAAATGTGGGAACTATATCAAAGAGGAGACAAGCCTGATCACATCGCTGTTTCTTCGAAGTGATTTATAATTTTAATTAGTTGTTAGATACATTTAATTCGGTCATTAAAAAAATAATAAACATTATTTTTATTTAAAAATAATTTTAGAATTTTCTCATTCATTTTCGAAGAATTGGGGTGTTTTTATTTCAAAAGTCTTGATATTAGGTTGGGTTCCTTGATTGATAACTATTTATCGAAAATTAAACATAATTAAGCAATCCGTGTGACATCGCATTATTCTGCAGTTCAAAAATAGAATAGAATACAAAATACAATATAAAACTATTACAACATTATTTGTATGCGGTAATGAAACCGTCACTGTAAATTTGGATTCTTGACGCGAAAATATAAATGGTATTGGATACACTTTCATTAAATGCTACGTCCGTTTTCGCTGCGGCTTTTGCCAGTAGCAGCTAGCGTTGTAATCTAGGTTCATATTAATAGATGTTTCAATTATTTAATCTCACGCAACCCGACTGGATAGTGCTTACTTGTGGTCTATCCGTGCATGCAAATAAGTTGAATATATACATAAATTGTGTTATTGTTATTCCTGATAATAAAATGACGTTCAAAAAAGGATTTTTAATTTTTTGTTCATCTTAAATAATTAGTAAACTAAATATATTCGACATTGTGTTTTAATTTTTGACCTATGATTTTAATTATGGTTTTAATTTAATGAATGTACGCAATTGTGAAATGTTAGTTATTATTGCGAGTGTACTTCATGTTAATAAATACTGTTAGTAGAGAATACGAAATGAGTTTTTGGACAGATTTACGAGGCGTGTGCTGCACCGCCATGTGTTGAATGTACTATTTAGGTTTTTGTATTTGTCGAGGTTGTTTTAATTAATCTACAGCCTGGGAACATTGATAGTTTTGCTATCAGCACTGCTAGAGCTATTTGCTATCTGGTAGATGGGGAAGGGGTCGACCGAAAAAGACACGGATTGAGTGTGTGAATGACGTTAAGCGAGAGAGAGGAGTGAGTATTGAGACGACGGCTGATAGAAGAGAATGGAAGAGAAAAATTAGCTATGCATATCCCACTTAGTGGGATAAGGTAGAGAAAAAGAAAACTGGTGTGAATTTAATTTTTCTCCACAATATTTTCTAATCGCTACGCTTCCTTATTCTTCCACAAAGGAGGTTAAGTAGTATTTCTTTAGTTATAGTAAATTTTTGGGCTTAGATTCAATTAAAACTACAAGACCCTAACTTTAATTGAAAATATGGTTGGGACTCATCTAAATAACACCTGGAATGCTCCTATCGCAAAGACAAACAACCAAGTCAAACAAACAACTACGCCTCAAGATACTGTTAGATCGTTTTGTGTGAAATAAAACGAAACTCTAGAAATATTTTTTATTGAAAAATAGACTGTGGTAGTTATTAGCTCACTATTTGAAAGTTAACCAATAGCATCGGAAATAACATAATAATAATTTTAAAAAAAACAGGATATTAATCCTTAAAAGCAGCTATAGTACATCCAAGTATTTCTGAATTCTACGGGTGACGATAACCATTCACCGTCTGTTGTGCTACCGAAAACAATAGAAATACACTATCTCTTTTGAATTCCTACATTAGAATTGAAACACATCGATCGAACTGTGGAAATAGTTACTGAATCGATCGAGTCCTATCTTGCACCACACGCTCAACATTGAATACCGCAAACGGGTCACTGTCAAAACGGACGTCGATGCGTCTTTATCTACACGCTAACAGCGCTTTGGATCGAATCGTTTTGCTATTCTACGACTAGAAATCGTAGCTTCGTGATTCAATTATATACGTTTCAAAATGATTTTTAATACTATACTTTTTACTTACGTATAATGGATTCAAGGTTTACTTTCGCATGATAATTAACATTTAAAATCAATTTGCGACTAAAGTGTAACCACAATAACAGTAACTTCTCTTGCCCATTTGTTTAGATAAAGAGAAACAATGCAAAATATACAAGTCTTCCTGGCATTCCTTTCTGTTGCACTGAAAAAAATCACAATTTGATAACCAATAGCAATATCAACAATGATGACATTAAAATGTTTAAAATACACACCTTGAGACCCTTTTTCCATGGATGTTTTCAATGGATAAGCAAAAGCATGGGATAGGAAATCGTGCAAAATAGATATAAATACTGCATTCAGCCTTCCAAAAAAAAAAACATGGAGGAGAGCAGCCCCCAAGAAAGAAGAGAAGAAGAAGAAAGAAGAAAAGAAGAGAAAAGAAGACGGAAGAGGAGAAGATGAAGAAAAAGAAAAGTTCTACCTACCACTACCTCAAGTCTGCATTAGACCCGCCTGCAGCGCATCACCCCTGCCTCCTTTAGGCAAGGAAATTCAGTCCGGGCAGAGGGGTTTCCCCGAGGCCCGCTCCGTGCCCCGCAAGTGGATACGACGACCATATTGGTCCATATTGGTAGTTGGTGCACTGACCTTACACGGTGTAGCTTTTTGAAGTTCCCCAATTATCACAACCGCAATAAAAATGTTATAAAAGCAACGAAATCACTATTTTATATTTATGATCGACACGTCGTACGCGATATTTACCAGATGTACGGCACAACATGTGGCAACTGTACAATAATTAAAGCGACCTTTGATGTTGAATCCAGCCGATCGTTGATGTGCTGAACAAGATTGATTTCCGAACGTAATTGGACCAGTTGCTGAAACTGTTAGGCTTTAGCTATAGATCGTGCGGTTTGTTTGTTCGTTAAGGAATAAAATATCTTAATATCATTTAAGTATAAAAAAATGTGGCGTAAAAAATATATATATGTCGGAGCACGTCAGGGATGGCTGAGCGGTAGGTTCCGTCATCACTCTTATTTGGTTGAACACAGTTTATAAAAAGTCAATAAAACCTTTTGAATAATAATTATGGAAACTCAACACACACAACTTTCACATTGACAGGATAAACCGACAGTTTCGTTGCACATACCGACAGACCGACTGACTGAGACGGACGGAATGACTGTCTGACACGGAATGCCACGACTCTGTCCACGTACCGCCATTTTATACTGTGGCGTTACGTAGTCTACCCTTCATTTTGTGATATTTATCAAAACAACATCTCATCATTTAAAATAATAATCAAAACCACCGTCTTAATATTACTAAAAGTCGTTATCCACGACAACTAAAAGTCGTTATCCACGACACGGCCATTCTGACATGTCACACGTCCCTGTGTGACGCTCCTGCAAGAAAAACAACCTTTTGCAATATCAAACAGGTTTCGTCTCGGCCAATCCTGATACATTCACGATTGAGGATTGGGATTCCTTTCATTACAAACCATAACGTTAGCTCTCAACAAGATCTTTAACAGACCATGTTAACCTGTGTGAGTAGATAACTTAATTACCCAATTATTAGTGATACACTATACAACTGAAAAATTTCATTAATGCTCAATAAGCATTAGAAACCCGAGTTATTACAAAACAACTCAATCTGAGCAGTATTTCATCAGTATTCTGTATCAACCACAAACTATCGTTACAATTACTTCCATCTAGTGAGAGTAACTCATGCCACCTATATCGAGTGACGATAAACCAATTCAAGTGCCACCTCCATCAAGTAGCTCTTGACTACTTATTGCCTCCATCCGGCAAATAAGTGGGACCTCCATCCGGTACCCAACTTCAACACAAAACACTAATGCCTCCATCCGGCACGCAAGTGGAACTTCCATCCAGTACCCACTTCAACCATAAAACACATCACAATGCCTCCATCCGGCAATAAAACGAACACATCACCTAAATCGAGCGATGTGTTCAATTACCAGTCATAAATGACACCGAATACTGTTCTTTACTAATCACACAAAATAGGACAACAAAATCCTTACTTTAATCAGTCAGTTGTATCGTGGTCATTTGATCCTACATCTTCTACATCACTAGTTTCAACAAAATCGTATAGAACGCTCCTGGCCTGGCTGCCGGCGCAGCTAGTGACATTGCCACCCACATTATCATTAAAACAAATGATAAAACCAATACACATCATTTCACAATATAGAGTCAAAGTCATTACTAGACCAACACAACAATAGTCTCCATTGAGACCCAGGTCTCCGCTGTACCAATCGATGGAGATGCTCTCACCTCACTGATCAGTCTCGTCAGTAGCACTACTTAGAGGCAACCTTATGTAATCATAGGTTCTATTACCAGTTAAAGCCACAAAATTCAACATCAAATTTTACTAACTTTCCAATGTTCTGGTCTCGTCAAAGTTAATCTCTTACTTTCAGTATCATTTTAAGTAAAAACCTTTAGGGATATGGCACGCGAACTATTAAGAATTCGAAGGGGCTCACTTTTGTTATTCTTATGGTAGAACAATTTAAAATAGATGTACGGCTTCTAGCACTTCTTGTCAAGAACAATTCCATGAGCTCACCGCGAGCTTGGTCATCAATAACGCAAGTCTGGGCTTCGAATAAGGACACTAGATTTAAGTGTTCTATTTCGCTGAATGCTCAATCTCACTGAACCGATTAAAACAACTATCAGGTAGTACATGACATACAATAGGTAAGCAATAAACCATCGCATAGGATTTGTTCCGTACAGTTTTGAGTCAAAACAACAGAAACCTTTTATGAGAACCATCGTATAAAATTGATGAGTTATGAAGCTACTACTAATAGATTTCTTGACAAGAGAGCATTCGGCACCCGAATCCAAATAAAAATAATACGACTCACCAGATTGTTCTTATTTACCAAAATTGCCTGATGTTACGCAGCTACCGGCACGTTGCTCCGCTCGGCCGGTGAATAGTTGACCCATTGAGCGCCGACAGACGGCGCTTGCGTCCCATATCTCGTACTGGCTGCAGCAATCACGTGTCGATTGCGACACGGCCTTCCTGACTGTATACGTCCTCGTGTGATGGTTAACCTACAATCAAAAACATCCACGAGAACCCTTGTTCCGCTCGATAACTCCTGACTACACTTCGGAAAAATTTAAAGTCATCAAAGCTTTAAACTGTTTTTATACCATTTTAACCAAATCAAACAATAGGGTATACAAAGTTCACTATTCAGCAGCCGGAGCACGTACCACAGTCGTTCATCAAACTTCAAATTTACTCTGTACAAATCAGGCATAGCTTACAGGAACTCGGATCAAACAAAACTTCCGAGTAAAAATATCTAACGCCACGGCTCTCCAGCCGACCAGCAATCGCAATTGCCCTCATGATGCGCATCCACAGCGTGGATCGCCCGTGTGCATCACCCGCTGACTACACACGATGGTCCTTACAGACCCCGACCTCCGCCAGAGCCAAACGCGCACCGCGCACCCACGGACTACTTGAGTTGCCTCAAGAGACACCGATTTCTACCGGGCTACGACTACGTAATAGCTACTGGTACGGTCGAACACAATACGGCCGATAGACTATCCTTACTCGAGTTTTCACCACAATTTAAGCTTGCTCTTCATCATCATCATTTACATCAACCTCGACTGGTATGTGTCATGCTGGCATTTTTCTTAGCCTATCATGTGGGTATTTGTAAGTACGTTTTGAATTTAA